TCCTTGACCAAATGGCACTAGTAATTAGACTAGTTTTGAGAGTACATTGTAAGTGTTCTTATTCGGAACAATGATACTTTTTCACATACATCTGAGATTGTGTTCGCATTGCTTTCAGTTTACTTGAGGTCCATATGTACACTGGACATGTAGCTAGGTACATTTGAAGTACATGTACATGTAGATGTACAAGTAGCTGTATATTTTGTAGGAGTTCGAGATACAATCTAATCTATTCCAGATACTTTGTGATGCATGTTCACCTGTCGACTTGTTCGTCTCAATTGACTTGAATTTAGTAATGCATTGCAATGACATGCTGTGTGCTATTGTCACGTTGTTATAAATTACTTCTCCTATGTCGACATTGCCAGTAAAATATAAATGTTTTGGATGGTGCACGTAAGTAGTTTCGTTTTGTGTGGTGTGTGCGAGTGCATGTGGTGTCCTTAGGAATGGTCCAATGCGTTCTATGTGCGCTGGAGTACTGCCAATTATGTGCCAGGTCACTGCCCAAAAGGCATGGCTTGGTGCATATTTGGCAGTGCACCAGCGTACGTAGTACGCCTGGGGTCATTCCTAATGGGCATGGGTACGCCGTACCCGGGCATTAGAGAGGTTTCGACCCGCGTGATTTGTGCTCTTACGTGAACGTCAATTTTTTGCGTCGACGCGAGCTCAGAAAGAGCTTTCGTTTCACGTTGCTTGTGAAGCACGTCGTGTCGCTGACGACAGGAGCGAAAACTGGGAGCGAAAACTTCAAAAAGTGAAAAAAGTGATTTTTGGTGAGGCCGAAGTCGCACAAATATTATTTATAGCTAGTTTAGGCAAAATCGACAAATCGAGTCAATAATCCCAACCTGATAGCAAGGCTAAATTTGCAAAAACTCGCGTTCACGTCGAACGTGAGTTGACCTCAACTCACGTCATGAACGGGAGTTTCGACGCCAAAATTTGCCACACCGACGTGAAATTTCACGGTGTAGTGCAGAACAACGTGAAGCGAAACCTCTCTATTATCGTCTGATAATGCCCTGGTACGGTAGTGCTCTGATTGGCCAAATGCTAGCAACGACCTGACAACAGGCACGTGACATGTATGAACATGCTGCATGTCATGATTGGAAGCTGTTTAGTAAAAAAATGCCCTGCCTGCCCCTGTAGGGCCTGAATAGCACCGTAGAAGGGCATGAATGATCACGTGATGGGTATCCTCACACATAATAAAAGTCATTGAGACACATACCTGATCTCCTAATTTAGCTTACCTGGAGAGACTTACCTGATCCGGCCCTGAGTTGAAGTACAATCATGTAGTACATGTACATGTACATGTAGTGTGAAAAAATGGAACCAGTAAAGGACACAAACCACTGCTTGCGGTCAACAACAGTGAAAGCATTTACAGGCCTCTTTTGCGGGCAAACACAATGGTTTAAAAATTGAGACACTGAGTGCCATAGCCAGGTGTCTCTAACCGAGACACAATGAGCATCACCGACCATTGGAACCTGGCCAGTCTCTCTAGCTACTGGTACCAGACTGAGAAGCTAAACGTGGAGCAGAGAGTGGCCATGTCAAGCAAGCTAACCGCTACTCCAGTATAGTACTGGAGTTACAAGTAAAATGTACATCAAACTGTTTGATTATTTATTTATTTATTATTACAACATCTCAAGACTCGGCGGAAACACCGGCCAATGTTACGAGAGTGGGTGATTGCCAACCACGGCGATAAAATTAATTATCACGCAAGCACAGCAGTTACCTAGCGCAAGTACAAGACTATAAGCAAATCCTGGAAGTTTTCCGACGATGCCAACTCCCGCTACTCTGCAGCAACCTACTCTAGCCAGCTTTGACGAGTTATGTGTGCTATCAGGCTTTCCAAGCTTACAGCAACCACTTATAGATACCCTTACCTTGCCTCTGTTAGATCCTGTCCCGGTTTTGCCCTTTGAGTCTAGGCATTGGCGGATAATGCTCGAAAAGGTGGCAGAACAGCAGTGAATTTGGCAGAACCATACAAACCTTATGGCGGGCAATTCCTCGAAGTCTGCTCCATTTCTTTATCCCCATACCAAACATGCATGAAACTTACCAGAAAAAGTACCGAATTCTGCCAATTTTTCTGCCGGCATTATCCGCAAAGGTTTACCTTTGACAACATTGACGCCGGATTTCCTCAGAAGCCTACATGTAGATGACGAAAGCCATCTGCCTTGGAGAAGCCACAGTACAGCAAGAGTCAGCTCCGTCTGGTGCTCCATCACTTAACAGGAAAATTCGCCTTTCAGAAGTCTGCAACTTGTCTCTTTGTCTCTCTCTCTATCTTACTGTCATGTTTCACTTGCTTGCAAAGCTATTGTAATGGATATGGATTGATGAAGGGTGCGGGTTCAGACCGTTGCTATGCCACAACTATGTAAGCCGTATGTGGTAGGGGTGGCAGTCTTAAACACAATCAGACACATGTACATGTACATGTATATACGGTCAGGGCAGGTATCGTTGATTCAGGCCCTCGAGCGTAGCTCTCGGCCTTCGGCCGAGCTACCCTGAAACTAAAGACCATCCATTTTCTCCGTTTTTCTTTCCTTCCAGTTGCATCTTTCTTTCTGCTCTGTTTTACTTGCTCTTTTCGTTCGTCCCTCTTGATATTTGGTACTTTGTACTGTTGAGGCAACGAGCTGAAATAATAGAGAGGTTCGGTTACAGGTAACGCATACGCGTACGTGAAGACAGCGTTGGCCACACGTTGCAAAGCTACGCGGGCGCAGAGTTTGATTCGGCTTCGCGTTGTGGCAAGCCAAGCCGCATCTCCGGGACAACCAAAATGGCAACATTGAAAAAAAATTACTTCTCGGGGTTTTTTCTCCAGTGATGTCATGGTGTCCCTCATTCCGACACTCGAGTGCTGCGCAGACCGGAGGTCTGTAGCGCGATCCGTGTAGATCACCTGATTCACGTCAAGTCGTGAGCTCCAGACCGCGTACGCGTAGTTTTCATCCTCGAACCCAGTTGATAGGTCCACACGTCGAGTTTGGCCCAAAAACATGTAGCCGAACCTCTCTAATAAAAATCAAACCAAACCAAACCAAACCAAACCAAAACCGTGATTCGCGACCAGGCTGGTGCTACAGACCACTTCACCAGGCACGGGCGGTCTCACAATGACATTCATACATGTACTAGCTGTATATGGCTGTGCGGCGCAAACCTCTAACCGCAGTAAACCTGTGACTAACGACCACCTCTTGGCCTTGGGGCCAGAGAAAGCGGTCTTTAGTGGCAGGTGGTCCTTTGTTAGAGGTTTGCACCGCGCAACCATAATGAATGTGAGACCGCCCGTGCCTGGTGAAGTGGTCTGTAGTACCAGGCTGGTCGCTAGTCACGGTGGTCTTTAGTTACAGATTTTACTGTAGTACCAGGCTGGTCGCTAGTCACGGTGGTCTTTAGTTACAGGTTTTACTGTAGTACCAGGCTGGTCGCTAGTCACGGTGGTCTTTAGTTACAGGTTTTACTGTAGTACCAGGCTGGTCGCTAGTCACGGTGGTCTTTAGTTACAGGTTTTACTGTAGTACCAGGCTGGTCGCTAGTCACGGTGGTCTTTAGTTACAGGTTTTACTGTAGTACCAGGCTGGTCGCTAGTCACAGTGGTCTTTAGTTACAGGTTTTACTGTAGTACCAGGCTGGTCGCTAGTCACGGTGGTCTTTAGTTACAGGTTTTACTGTAGTACCAGGCTGGTCGCTAGTCACGGTGGTCTTTAGTTACAGGTTTTACTGTAGTACCAGGCTGGTCGCTAGTCACGGTGGTCTTTAGTTACAGGTTTTACTGTAGTACCAGGCTGGTCGCTAGTCACGGTGGTCTTTAGTTACAGGTTTTACTGTAGTACCAGGCTGGTCGCTAGTCACGGTGGTCTTTAGTTACAGGTTTTACTGTAGTACCAGGCTGGTCGCTAGTCACAGTGGTCTTTAGTTACAGGTTTTACTGTAGTACCAGGCTGGTCGCTAGTCACGGTGGTCTTTAGTTACAGGTTTTACTGTAGTACCAGGCTGGTCGCTAGTCACGGTGGTCTTTAGTTACAGGTTTTACTGTAGTACCAGGCTGGTCGCTAGTCACGGTGGTCTTTAGTTACAGGTTTTACTGTAGTACCAGGCTGGTCGCTAGTCACGGTGGTCTTTAGTTACAGGTTTTACTGTAGTACCAGGCTGGTCGCTAGTCACAGTGGTCTTTAGTTACAGGTTTTACTGTAGTACCAGGCTGGTCGCTAGTCACAGTGGTCTTTAGTTACAGGTTTTACTGTAGTACCAGGCTGGTCGCTAGTCACGGTGGTCTTTAGTTACAGGTTTTACTGTAGTACCAGGCTGGTCGCTAGTCACAGTGGTCTTTAGTTACAGGTTTTGAGTAGTTTACTCCATAATAATGACTGTAGTCGTGACATGATGTATGTAGGAAATAATATGAAATTTGATGTATGGACATAATTATAATACTCTTGGTAAAACTCACCCACAGGGTGCCCGGTAGACCGAGGTGCCCTGAACTTGGAGGTCAAAAGAGAAACAAACGCACGGACACAGGGAGAGGTGGGGGGGGGGGGGGTCGCCAGACATACATGTACATGATTGATTGTACATGTTTGCATGTGCATGTCGGTTGGACTGTTGTTTGGCACCCGAGCGCACGCATCAAACTATACGCACACACCATTATAATTATATCACCGTGACAACGGTAATGACCAAAGAAACCCAACCTGCCGGTCGAAGTAGCGCAGCATTTTACATCATGCACGGTACAAAAAAAAACAAAAAAACAATATGAGGGCGCTGCCGGCTCACAGGTCAGATATCGTTTCTTTGGCCACGTCTTTACCTCCACCCAGCTCACAACACTGAACAAAGTCGGAAACGAGGCGGACCGAGGAAACACTTTGAACCAGCAATGTGACTACACAGCCAGCACTGTGCCCGCGCCACAACCATTCATACTGCACGGCATGCATGGACAAGCTGCACACACAGTCGACAAACCATGAATAATAATCATAACGGAGATTAGGCCGGTCATTTCAAGGAGATCAACACACTATAATTACACGGTATTACATTAAGAAACAGCAAGGAGATCAAGCACAGCGTTTCTGGTAAGTTGCCACAGGTCAGACGGACACACATCATTGCGTTGTAATGTCAATGACGTAACTGTGACAGTTCCATGTACACATAAAGCCCAGCCAAACTGCGCCGTCCTGGTTCCAGCAATTACTTTGTCCGTAGGGCCATCAGTGCACTAAAATGTGCTACGGCACGGAACGCTCTGGATGTACAATGATCACATTGGCGTCAGACTAAGAGAATGCATGCCCCTCTCCCAAGACAACCGGGTCAGTCCGTGTTATGCCTGGTGGCCCCAAACCAGGGTTCGCCTGGATGTGCATAGCATCACGCAGCTCTTACAATATTCTCCCTATCCCGTTGGCATTGTCCATGTGGATCGCGGCCGGTTGCCGTTCTTTTCCCGTTTTCCGCTGACGCCGGGCATCAGCAGAATACTGCACTGTAGTCCCAGCTATGATGCGGCGTTGATCACACATGCATCACACATGGATCAAGCATGGATCACACATGAATTACGCATGGGTGACTCATGGATGACTCAAGCATTACACATGGATGACTCATGGATGACTCGTGCATCACGCACAGATCACGTACGGAGTCACGCATCACCATGATGGCGGTAAAACACCAGTCGTCGGAGCACGCCCTGTGACGCAGCGCCGTCGAAGAGTCTCCTTCTTGACGCGCAGCTTGCGCTGCAGGGCATTCTGCGGCGGCAGTTCTTTCCACTCCTCAGCCGTCAGGTTTACGCCGAATATCTCCATCTGTTGAGCAGGCAGACAAGGGTGATTTAGTTTAGTTTTATACCAAGCAATACAGGGTCAGTGCGCCTTGACCTTATTTCAAGCAATCGTGACATGACGGGGCAGCCAATGATCACTTTGTTTGGCCATTGCAGGGTTTAATAGCCAACCATGGCTAGCAAGGAAAAGAGTAAGACCGGTCGAAAAGAAAAGGAGAAGCTCAAGACAAGCCTCAATGACTGTATTGGGAATGCATGCAGCCAGTCCTACGTTTTGTACGATACAGTGAGTGATTCCAAGCAGTACACTTGATTCAAATCTACGTCCGGCAATACAAGAGTGAACTGGTCCCACCGACGCAGCCAACATGCTGAGTTTGAGGTCTGAGGTACTGCCGTGGACATGGAAATCCAGTCGGAGGTCAAGCGGGCCCAGTGCGCTGGCCATACATCATCCGTAAGTACGCATACCATATTCTGCACGCACTGAAGGTGCCGGCCACAGCCATTCGACCGGATTTACATGTAAAAGTAAAGTAAAGTTTACACGTCCGCGTTACCACCGGCTATACACTTGCGTTGAGAAACACAACCAGCTTAGGAAGTTTCGATGTCCACGACAGTATAGCAAATTGTGCCCCCCCCCCTTCAACCTCCCCATTTGCAGCATTGGCATACAGGGAGGTGAGACAACAGCGTCCCTCACTACCGTGTTTAATACTGTAGTCGTAAAGCATTGCTGGCCTTTAGCGAAGGTCTCTGGTTCCAGTACCGGAGATGACGATTATTTTTATGCAGGGTTTTTTTTCCCATTTCCACTCTCTCAGACTAATGGACACCGTACTCATAAACAAATAGTTGTAAAACTGCCGGGAAAGTGCTGAATGCACAGAGCGCTTTAACATACTGTAAACTGCCTATTAAACATTCCCCTAGATTGATGTTAACTGTTTTGGCGAGAAGAGCGTCACGAGAATAGTAATAGTAACTAGCGTGAAATCAAACTTCAAAAGTGGGTGTATGTGCACTGTAGTTGGCCCATGTGCTTCGGAAACTTTTGCCATAGCAAACTCACTGCTTCTACAACATCGCGAAAACTTAGTGACGCGAATATTGGGCGGTTTGCAGTATCGGAAAGAGGCAGAGATGGACCCCTTGGAGTATGCACAGTAAATCTGGTCTAAGCGACCACCCCACGGTGCAAGCAAAAGCGGTCTTTAAAAGCCAGGTGGTCTTTAGAACCAGGTCCCACAGTGTCTGTGTAGAACTGTCGGTGCATGGAGAAACGGTCATTTTAAGAGCAGGTGGTCGCTAAACCCAGAGGTCGCTTACACCAGGTTTTCCTGGAGTAACTCTGTGCTTCATGCCAATGCGATCAATGCGGTACTCACTTCAACGTTGAGGAGTGCTTGGCGATAGTTCTGCCGAAGTTCCGCAACACTCTGATTATGAGGGGAAGGAGGTTCAGTTGAACTGCCTCCTCCACTTCCGCTGTCCTCACCTCTAACAGCAGCAGTGCCATCACCAGCTACAACTGTAGCCAAGCCAGGGAGCAAGAATACAACCAGGAAAACAGAGTATATTTAAAATTAACATGAGGAAGGAGGGAGAGAGAGAAAGAGAGAGAGAGAGAGAGAGAGAGAGAGAGAGAGTGAGTGAGAGAGAGAGAGACCGGAGGTGGGGGAGGAAGAAGTGAGAACGAGTGGAGGATAAAAAAAGATGGATCGACAAAGGGGCAGCTGAATGAGGACACGGACGGACTGACGAACGGATACCGTCATGAACGCAGTCGTCAACGCACACATACCATCCTTTTTCTCGGCTTTGTGTTGATATACACGGAATTGCCAATTGGACTGCATGCTGCTTTGGATTGCATGCATGTTATGTGCAACATCACAGTCATAGTTTATGTGGATGCAATCCATAACACATGCTTAGATAAACACAACAGCTCTAATCCACACGGGCTTCCACACGATAACTTGCCGCTTTTCTCAGCTATTTTTGCTGGCCACTATTCTGGTCACAGTAAAGTGCACCTAGGAAGTTTTGCAGAACCTGAAATTGACAATCCCCACTAGTCATTGCAGCTAAACCTCTTGTTGCGACGCGACTCGCGACTTGCGACGAGCTGCGGCCGCGACACACGATTAGCTATGTTTGATGTTTTTGCGACATCCCTATGCAGTGCGTATATAGTGGCAGTATGATAACCACTGGCACTTATACTTACAATCAGCTATGCTTCTCCCCAGGGCACGCAGACCTTCACTCACAAGTATCTGCGCCGGATTGAGTGCTGTCGGTGAGCTGTGGCTGACGGTCCTGGTCGGCTGCTGTTCAGCCAGAGGAGTCGCAACACCATCGGCTACCGCACTGACCCTGCTTTCAGCATCGGGCTCATCCCTGGTATGTGTGGTGTGCTGTGTGGAGTTCCGCGTGGTGTGCTGCGTGGAGTGCCGTGCGGTGTTGCGTGTGGGGTGCTGTGTGGGCTGTCTTGTGGTATGCCGTCCACTGCGGTCCGACGGCGTGGGAAGCGGGATCGACTCCGGCGTGAAGTTGTCACGGCGACCGCTCAGCGATGACATAACCGACGACGTAATAGAGGGTGTAACACTGTCCCTGTAGTTGCCAATCTCTGGCGGTGGACTGGTGATGGTTGGCGTCAGCCCAAGCGAGTACTGCGATCTTTGCCCGGAGCTATTCTTCCGTGTGTACTCATCCAGCAGCTGCAGAGCCATACAATAAAGTACAGTCATGCTCAATGAAATCCAGTCACGTCACTTAAGTCTGCGCCCTGCACCATTCCGCAGCCCAGTGTCGACAGGTCTTGTAGGGCTGCGCACCGTTTCTGTGCTGCCTTCTCGATACATACGTATGTACACTGTATAGGTTTGTGGTTTTTCAATTAAAAAACAAAAAAAACAAAAAAAAACGTCCGGCGCTCACTTGAGTGACGCTGTGACTGGATTTCATTGAGCAGTACAGTGTACATGCACTGTACAATGAAATCCAATCAGTGCGCTGTGCAGCTCTAGACCTGCCAACACAGGGATGGTGAACTGGTGCAAGGCACACACGTGTCTCACGCCATGGGTTCTCATTGAGCAGAACTGTAAGACAAACGCCGGTGTTCACTGTCGGCTGATTGTTACGAGCTCAAAAGGCCGCAAGAATCAACTACAGTCAACTTCGCCAATAACGACATTCGGCGGGGCATCAGAAAAGTGTCCTTATTCGCGAAGTGTCCTTATAACCGAAGTCCCATTTGAATGTATGTGAACCCATATTTTGTATAGTATGATATGCATATCAAAATCAAGCTCTTGTCTTGCTCTATGTCAATGTGTACTTTATTTTCATACTGCAGTTGCAAGGAACTAAAAATTCAATATGCAAGGAAATGAATTGAAAAATATGCCTTTTTGAGCCATCTATTATTATTATTATTATTTTATTTATTTTACTAGGGTGTTTCCCACAGACCTATGGTCTTCTTACGGGAGCCCCTAGAAAGGTTAAGCATGAACGAACAAATGGGCGATAATCTACAGGGCCAGAGACATGTACATGTACATGTATGATGATTACTGTACAATCATGTACAACTACATGTACATGTACATTGTATACATAATATAGGTGTGCTGGTAAATCCAACAATTTTGAAGCCAACATTATAAAAGGAAAAAAGCCCCCCCCCCCTTGGCTGCATTTTCTTGCATGTGTGCCTTTTATCACCATAGGTTCTGGTACTTATGCATGACAGGTACATGTACTTGACTGACAGGTACTTGAAATAGCTGTCAAAAGCCCAGAAAGTCGTTATTCAAGCAGTGAATATGACCACGGGGCACTAAAAGCATGTCGCTATACGCGAATTGTCGTTATTCAGATAGTCGTTATATCCGAAGTTAAATGTATACAGTTAGATGGGACTTTGCTCTGGGCATGGAAATTCGGTCGTTATTCGCGAATTGTCGTTATATCCGCAGTCGTTATTAGCGAAGTTGACTGTAGATGTGAATACTGATGCACGGACCAGGAGATCTGGGTGAGCAGAAAGATATCACAAACAGGTAATGGGATCCTACGTGCATCCATAGTGAACCCTGTGTAAGACGACCGTTCAAGGTACCTTCGAAATGTGGTCTCTGTTACCAGGTGGTCTCCTTATCCAGGGTCATTTGACTGGAAAAAGCATCCCTTGATCCTGGTTGCGGTGGTCTTCTAGGGCAGGTGGCCGCCTTATCCGAGCGGTCGCCTTCACAGGTTTTGCTGTATTCTCCAAGCATATCATTATCATCTCTGTGGGGTTGAACCTATTGGCTTGCTTGGTAACTCGTTTTCGTTGTGCAATTGCTCGCTGGTTAGATACAGATCCACCCGTTTCGACTCTAGGCTTTAAAATTCATACTTGCTGGGCGTTATGCGGTGAATGTTCCTCACCTCTCTGAGCCGGGCATTCTCCTGCCGCAGGTCACTGTAACTACGGACTCCAGTGCTATAGGAGCAAGCATACATTTACATACACATACGCACACGTGCACGTACGCATACACACACACACAGGCATACACGCTCACATGTACGCACACACACACACACACACACACACACACACACACACACACACACACACACACGCACACACACACACACACACACACACACACACACACATGCACGCACGCACACACACACACACATACACACACACACACACACACACACACACACCATATTGACTAAAAAAAAGACGCACCTTAAGCGCTCACAGCAAAACCCAGGGTCGAAGAATACTTACCGAATGTGAGCCACTACTCAAGTAAACACACTGAAACAATGCGACAGAGACCTGAAAACGGGGTGCACCATACAGCGGCGGATCCAGCGATCTCTACAGGGGTCCAGTATAGTAAAAACTGAATATCTGATACATGTACATGGACAGGCATATGGTTGCCAGAGGTACATTTACGAAATTCAGGGGGTTGCGTGGAACCCCTGGAACCCCTCCTGGTTCCGCCCCTGCCATATTATTGGATGTGACAATCATAATAATTGATCGGAGAAATACGGTACAAGGACTTGTAGGTGTTGGCCTGGCTCAGTGAAATGCAGTGCTGCTCAACGACATCCAATCAAATCAGTCTATGCACTGCCGGGCTCTGTGCAATCTGTGAACACTGGACAGTGCACTGGTGCAAGGCGCAAGCTTCACCCGCACAAGTTGATGTCATCGAGCAGCACCGTACATGAATGTAGGCTGGCCAGTGCCATTGAAACCAATGAGATCTTGCTTTGCAGTCAAACATCTGTCCCGCCATGCACCGCTTACCCTCTCAGTAACCTGTCTTCTTCATGTTTCCGCTTCTCTTCGACTTCTCGTCTTGCACCTGATAGCCTGAAAAGTGCAACACAAATACAGCAGCTTAGTAATCAGCTCACGCTAGCCTAGAAATGTTGCACCAGACGCTGGTCCAAACCAAATGGAGTCATTGAGGACGGTACCCACCCATGCCACATTTGCCGCTGAGCATAAAAATAATAATATTTGTTTTGGTCGATGATTGGGTATCAGTAATGACGCTAGCGTACATTGGTCGGGTAGTGGTTTTATTATGACGCAGTTCTCAGGTAATGAAGACCTGCCCCCCCCCCCCTTATATGTACATCCTATAGAGGTTATGTGAATGATGTCATGCTGGTGAATCAGCGGAGCCGCTTATGGGCGCTATGCATGCAGCGTGAGTCAGCAGAACTGCTCATAGGTGCTAGCACATACGCACCCCCCCCCCGAAACACACACACACTCACACACACACACACACACACACACACACACACACACACACACACACACACACACACACACACACACACACACATACACACACACACACACACACACACACTGATGCGAGTCGCACTGTGGTTGGTAAAAAACACCCGCTTGCATCCTTACATTCTCAGTCTGTGTTCGTGAGCTGCTGCCCGCTGTTCCACCTGTCCACGGGCAAAGGTTACCATAGCAACATGAAAACAGAAAACAGATCACTGTGTATGTGGTCAACATATGCCGGATGTCGACATACATACCTTTGCAACACCTGATGTCGATGTCAAACAAACTCATCATTCCCTGCAGAATACGCAGTGCTTTTTTTCCTCTACATGACATTGTCTACAGTCCATTCATCGGAAACAGTCCCGCTGGCCTTTGAAAGTTCGATTTGCGCCGAATTCAGTATCAAAAACCCACTTTAAATCTCAAAAATTTGGGTTTGGGATCTGCTTCTCCATACATTTTGCCATGGCATACCTGTCCTAATTTTGTAAAACCTGGCTGAATTTCTATTCCCTGTCCTTGGACTTTTGTGGCCTCAAACGTGGCAAGGAGTAATTGCACGGGTCACACAATGCAGGATGTCACGGTACTGTTGTTTTCACGTTATCTACAACCACAGTGACTCCTGTCTAAGACGACCACTCAAGGGACTTTCAAAGGGTGGTCTCTGTAACCAGGCGGTCTCCTTATCCAGTGCCATTCGACAGGAGATAGCATCCCTCGGTCCTGGTTTCAGTGGTCTTCTGGAGCAGGTGGTCGCCTTATCCGAGTGGTCGCCTTGACAGGTTTTATTGTATGTGCGGGAGACACCAAAACGTTAGGGTGCCGGTTTCCAATGAATAGACTGTAGTTTCGCAAGCCAGGGTTCCTCACCATCATGATTAGCTGTAGCACCCGCTATAACAGTACATGCATATCCCACTTTTATGTTTATGGATCTATGTCATTCAGATCTTCCCAAGTTGTACATTATACTGTTGAGATACCGAATTCAAATAAATCAACACAATACATCGTAAAAAAAACTTAAAAAAACAACCCACATGCACTTGTTCTGGTATGTAAAATTACTGACACAGAGTGCAGGGGCTACTGCGTGACTGTGATTGGTCGATGGACATGGGAGAACTATGGACGTACCGTTCGTCGTTTTCGTTCGTCTTTGGACCAGTATATCCACGGTGGTGGGTTGGCAAGCACTGTGCACATCCGTAGTCACAAGGTGTATGCATGCACGGACAGGCGTGCGCACACACGCACGCACACACACACACACACACACACACACACACACACACACACACACACACACACACACACACACACATGTACATGGACGCAAGCATGCGTGCACGTGAGAGTGCGTGAGTGCAGAACCTGTCAACGACGGACACTGGAGAAAACAGCTACAGAACGCCCCGGGTAACCACAAACAAGCAGAGACCTGAACCCAGCAGGAGTTACCCAGTATTGCGAGTGCTTACTCTTGGCATGGTATTCGGGTTTGTACTACAGTCCATTTCAAAAATATAGACGCATGGTGTTTTGGAAATTATATCAAATTTGGCTGGAGCTTTTCGAGAATTCTTTTCGGAATATTGCTCAGGTCCTTCCAATTACTCTCATATAGATTTTAAGTGATCGGATAGCTAATTTCGAAATTTTTATGCACAACGTGATCACAGATTTTATGTGGCATAGATGCTGGCCTAACGTTTTTTTGAAATCACGTGTCTATATTTTTGAAATGCATTGTAATGGATCCTCCACGGGCATGTAAACAAGCCAGAAAGATAACACTGATGGTATAAGGCACAGGACCGCCCGGAGCAGTTTTAATTGTTCCGGCCATACCACGGCCTTCCATACACTATTACCTCCTTACCGTCCGGGGTCCCAGGGAAGGATGTGGACACTCCCGGAAAATCCAAACAACTCTCGGACTGTTCCCGCATGCCCAAACCCGACGACTGCTGCAGCTTCTCTAGAAAACGTTTGCCAATCTAGGAGCAGAGACACAATGCATTTTACACGCAGCAGTAGTGAGAGGACTGAAGAAACAATTGCCAGTCTGTTATTTACGCTTTTAGGTTCTTATACACACCAGAGGTAGTAAAATTTAAAAAAACTGTTGTAGTAGTATTTATTATTTGACTAGGGGAGTCCCAACAGGCATGTCCTTGCTACAGGGAACCCTAGGTGAATCTTTGTGAGATGAGCAAAAGTACCAGCAGATTGTGCCTGTCGACAGTTTGGAGGAAGAGCTTTCCACCAACCTGCCGCCAGAAAAGAAACTGAGGCAACATGCATATTACACACCACCAGTCTACAAAAACGTTTTAGACAATGGCAGCTGTATGGTGGAGGACGGAAACGGGGAGGAGGAAGAGGAGGAGGAGGAAGAGGAGGAGGAGCATTATTGGTAGAAAACCACACCTGGGTGCAACACGAGGGTATTGCCTACCACATATTGTGCTTCGCTATGGGTAGAGTGGATCTAGAAGTCGATATTTGTCGTTAGAAGTTGACTTCTGAGGTCATCACACACTTTCAAAGCTATATACGCAACACTGTACTACCTTGTTATCAAGAGTGCATAAACAAGAGTATGCAACTGTGGTTATGGGTCAGTGCGCGGCGCGCTGCCTTCATTACGTAACTTGCTTTCATCACGCTCTGAAAGCATGCATTCAAACTCACAATTTCTCGTACGAGCCCATCTGTTTTTGCTCGATTCGTTCCATTACCTACGCGATCTCTAAATTCTGGCGCGTGAACTCCAGTTCCGTACGAAAGTTCATTTCAAACCAGAGGAAAAGTGCGGTGTTTGATTTTCCGCAGTGCGCGGACTGCAGCTGAATGATATAATGAAGGCAGCGCGCCGCGCATCTGGCCTATAGAAAAGAGATCACAGTTGCATACTCTTGTTTATGGACTCCTGTTATGAACAGAGTGGATCCAAAAGTCGTTATTTGTCGTTAGAATTTGACTTCTGCTGTCACCACTTTCAAACCCTATACCCAACATTAGTGCATGCCTGTCCTGTGCCTCTCACCTCCATCTGAAAGTCCTCCACGGTTAGGCTTGATGGCTTTGCAACAAGACACTCCTCCAGCTTACGAACCTAACCAGCATGAAAACATACACAATAAAAAGTGCCGCATGTGGCGAAAATCAGCAAAAATCTCATTTTTGTCCCTTCAACTGCAAACAGGCATTTCGGATGATCATTATTTTGTTCGGATAGTTGACGTTTGTATAATTGGCATTCGACTGTACGGGCCTTCATGCAGTGTGTCTCCACGTAGCATTCAAGCTGCTTTACATTTCACATTAACCTTTACCCTCCCATTGTTTCCGTATGGGAACAGGAAGTATGGACCTGTTTTTACCTCTCGTGGATGCATTGGGAAGGGTTTCTTTTATATTTGAGATGATATCTGGTACCAAAAAGAGCTCTACCCAGCGATCGGGTTGGGCCTACATCTTGTCAGCTAACTGTTAAGTACACAGGACTTTGAAAATTGAGGCAACTGGACGTATTTCGGAGGCTTAGGCAATATAACTCATGAGGCCTCAGTTCATTTCCGGTTTTGTTCTAAGGCAGTGTGTTGAAGTAATGAGGTGGGAAGTTGTGTGTCAAGTTTGGGAAAAATACTGGCAGCAATACAAAGTTTAGAGAACTTCAAAGTTAAATGTTCACATTTAACTTTGAAGTGCACTCATAGACCTCCTAAAACTCCCAAACCACCAGCTGCCCACTATCCTCCTAACGCCTTCACTCGCCTGTTACCTGCAGTCTCCCCCAGCGCCTCTGCCGACGCTTGTTTCACAATCCAACGCTACCAGACTTAGTGTCCACCTGCAAGTGGCGCCAGCCTTAGAACCAGTGTAGAACCTGTGTAGAACCTGTGGCTGTATGGGTTTATAAGGGTACTGTTGGGAAGCGCACCAGTATCAGTTGTCTGACGATTGCTTTGCTGAGTCGGCTTTGTTCTAACCCGTGTCTCAGACACTGAGCATTCCCTGCATCTCCGGGATCAACGGATTTGTACCAAGCGACCCAGCGCCATAATGGCTTCTTTCTACGGAGGTGGAAATAGGATCCGAACTCGCTGCTATGTTACCTTCATGGAAGCATCAGAATGTGCAGCTGAGGAGAATTCTCATGTTAGAGATGTCGAGATAATGCCGCCAGAAACCGGAGACCGAGACGTGGATAGTGACATTGAGGAAGCTGATGGTGTTCTGGATAGTGATGAGGATGCTGTTGAGCCGGCAGGAGAACTGGAAGTGGAACACAGTTGCGGCTCTCACAGCTGTAATAGCGACAGCAACAGTGCTGGAGAAGAGATGACTGAACCTGCTAGGAAGAGGCCCATGAATGGCCAGCGGAGGAAACGTGTCGGCTTCTCAGAGGAACTTCCAGAGGATGAACGCAACCCTGTTCTCGTTGAGTACTAGTACCCTGGGCTTGACGGCAAAACGGAGTTTGAAACCTGGCAGCGTTAAGTAATTTTGTTCCGATAGGAATACTGCAACATATAGCACAGCAGACCAACATCTATTCTACACGTGATCAGAACAAAAGAAATGTCGCTGTCACCCTCTCTCTCTCACTCTTCCTCTCCTGGGAAGCTCCTCATGCTCATTTTCCCTTTCTCTGTCCACTTCCCCTTCCTGATGCGTAGACCAACTGATGAACCCGAGACCACTAGGTCGGGGGAGGTTGACCTACCTCATCGACACGCATGCCAGGCTCCTCTGTGTTGTGAATGTTCGCTTGTCCAATTTTGTCTACCTCCCCTTTTACGTTGCTGGCCAGTGCTTTGTAGTAAAAAATTTAAAAAAACCCTGCTGACCTAGCATGCTTCTTCGGAATCTTGTTACTTTCTGGATATCATCGTCTGCCGCAGGAAACTGATTATTCGTCGAACCAGGAAGATCTTGGTGTTCCGATTGTCGCCGAGGCCATGAGTAGGAACTCATTCCAGAGTATCATCGAGTCTGCAATTCACTTTGCTGACAACCGGGCATTGTCAGCGGGAGACAAGGTGGGAAATGTTCACGTCCTTGAATGAGGGCCTTATACAATAATTATGACGTATTCCATCCGCTGTTATCGATAGATGAAACCATGATACCCTACTATGGCCGCCACTCTGCAAAAGATGTATATCCGTGGCAAGCCGATTCGGTTCGGATACAAGCTCTGGTGCCTCTGTGGGTCAGACGGCTACCCATATCTCTTAAAAATCGATCGAGGCAAGGAAGCCAACCAGTCTGCATCTCCCCTTGGAACCAGAGTTGTGAATGCCAGGGTCGACGTTGTTGAACGCCATTCGGAGATTGAGAGGCATGAACCATTTTTCGACAATTTCGTTTAATTTTCTTCACCTCCCATCAACTCCTGAAGTTATTGACAACGCGATCAGTGCCTGCGCCAGACACAATACGTGAGAACGGGATAGCCGGAGGCGCCGGAAAGTTAATGACAGCAAACAAGGCAATGAAAAAGATGGCGCGTGGTTACTTGGACCACCGGTATGACGGTGAGGTGTGCATGTATGTAAATGGAACGGCAATTTCATTGGTCACGTTGCCAGCAATCAGCAGACGCACGTTCCACTGCAGGAAGTCAAACGTCGCATCAAGGGTGCCCCAGCTGCAAGTGTTCAGCAGCCCCACCTCATACACGAGTACAATTCTGGTATGGGTTGGGTGGATCTCATGGATCGCTAGCTAGCGTCATACATTCAGTGCTGCCAAATAATTTTCGCCCAAAATCGGACACCCTTCACCGCCGGCGGCGCGCCAACGCTGGCCACATTGTGCGAATTTTTCTCCTCGGCAAATTTTTTACAGAGAATTCAAAATATTGCCTAAAACACCATGAAAATTCGCTTCGTTGCCATAGTAACCCCAGAGTTGTCATGAATTTTGTAATGATGAGTGTGGTCGCACACTGACTCTGTACAGACTGTCAGTGTACATGCCATCCAGCCTGATCCAGGCATGTTACTTTGCACTTCCATAGCCAAGCGCTAGCCTTTTTAGAAGCAAAATGTACAGTGATTAGTGCCTTCAGTTGCGCTGAAAAGTGAAGTACAGGACTTCTGCATAGGAAAGTAATGATCTCCGACATTTTGGCTGCTTTTCGGACGTTTCCCTTTTCGGACCGGTTTTCGGAAGAGCCTTCAAAAACCGGACACTGTCCGAAAAATCGGACGGTTTGGCAGCACTGTACATTAATACATACTACCAGTGCTGCCAACCTGCTCGGTCTGATTTGCGTACTCGGACTGCTTTCCAGAGTTTTTCCGTACTACCAATTTTTTTCAGCGCCAACAGCAGTTTCCTAAGCCACATCAATAGCACACATACCTGCTGACATTCCATGAGGTATGGCGAGAGCAGGATCAGCAATGCTGTGGTAGCAACTGCAAGGTAGGTGTATGGAGACTCATCGGCGACGGGACTGTCAAACATCCACAGCTGCTCCCATAAGAAACACACCACATCCACGGGGAGTGAACCTAGAGAGGGACGCACGCCATGCATGCATGTGCACACATACATACACACGCATGCACACCTCAGACCTCAGATCTCAGACCTGTCCATCGCGGAAGCGATGATATTGAACAGCTATGTTAGATCTAGCAACTTGTGCTGGGATTACATCATTCAACAGCTTGCAAGGCTGATGAATTGACTGCCACCAATTTTATCCTGGTATCCACCACACAGCTGACTGAAGTGGCTTTATTCTGGCCAGTGAATCCCTATTTTTCATTTTTTCCATTTATTTACACACATACATACGCCACACACACACACACACACACACACACACACACACACACACACACACACACACACACACACACACACACACACACACACACACACACACACACACACAAGCGCGTGCACCCCCCCCCCCCCCTCACACGCACCTTTATCTCAGCTTCTCCTTCCTAATGCTGTCTCATACCATCTCATTCCCAACCATTCCAGTTGCTGACACCCTAAGCGGCTGGAGATGAGACGCTTGGTCTTTAAAAATGCATCGAATATGTCGACAGCCGGTCTGTGGGTTGCAGGACATGTTCCATACCTGAGAATAGAACCTGCCAATGTGGATGCAGAGTGTTGCGAAGATACTTGTAGAATGGCGCTCCTGAAATGAACACATATACACAATTCATGGTGTACCGAAGGCGGTCAGCAGGGTGGGTTTTCACGGACCCCTATCTTTGCACACGACCTGTTTTACGTGTCATGTACTTCGGCTAAAGAGGCAACTGCTCACAACGGCCAGTGTTCTATGATCTTACTACGGAAAACGGGCAATGGCACTGGCGCATCTGATGTCACGTGATGAGCTCGTACACATTACTTGCACTCTGTGCATGATAGATACAGGGTTGTACGCAACCCGGCTTTGCGTGCAACTCTCTTCTGGTCACTTTTCGTTGTTTGCCAGCGTAACCTTTTGAACCATGTCACGTGATGTGAAGGTCTGCAGTCGCAGCACTGTATAGAGGTTGTGACGGTAGTTGCGCATTCTTGGGGGTTATGTATCCTTGGCAACAGTCATTCTTTTCCTCGGCCTTTCCCCCCCCCCTCCATTCCCTCAAACACGGAACGGTTAAGGAAGCCAATAGTAAATTCAGACTGTAGATGCAGGGACCGCTCAAGGGACCGTACAAAGGTGGTCCCGTGTACAGGTGTTCTCCTGATTTGTCCAGGTTCAAATCGGCTATACTGAAGTTTAACCGGGCCTCGTGTGGTATTAGGGACTTAGTACCTGTGTGCGTAGATGACCTGGAGCCAGTTGTGGATGCCGAAGCAGCACTGAGCTGGCTGCTAGAACTGGCGCTGGCATTGGTGCCCTTGCCATTGATGCTGGCTAGTTGCGGGTTTTCGGCCGCAGCAGCGGCAGCACAGCCGAAGACACAGCGCAGGTGCTGATGCAACTCTGGGTGCTGTTCCTTGAGCAGCGTGTCGACATCCCTGGCTACCTGATCTGCTGCAGACTTCACTCCCTGAACATGTGACAATGCATGTGAACGAACAATTGGATGGGGCAACGTGAGAGAAGAGTAAGCGAAAATTGAGTTTCCGACACCGTTCCCGAAGGTACAGGTACTCCGACTGCGCCCCCTCCCCTGAAACAGCCGAGTGCTATGTCCTGCGCCTCACAGTGAGGTGGAGGATGTCGTAGTGATGTCATGGTGATGTCATCGAAAGCACCACCAGCCACAGTGCATACAGTAGGCTACCCCCCCCCCCACCCTGCCCCTGCCCTTCTGTCCCCTCCTGTCCCCTGCCCTTCTGCTCCCTCCTGCCCATCCACCTACACACACCTGAATCAAAGCTAGAACACCTAGCACACGGGCATACTGACAAACGACGCCAACACCACTTCTGTAACAAAACAGCCAAGCAAAGTTCAACTTACTCTATCCTGCAGAGTTTGAAAGACCGGTGGCAGCGCGTCCTCGAACCGTACAAACGAACCCAGCATGGGAGCCATTACGTCATCCATGACATCATCAGCATCATGTGACTCTACGTGACGACGTCGCCGTGACGGGGACAGTGGACGGTGGTGGTGGTGGTCACCGGCAGCAGCAGGCGTCATGGCGTGTACGAACGCCACCGCTCGGTGCAGTGTTGCACTGGTGAGCACCACGTGTCGGCTACGCTGGGAGCAGCGCGCGTGGTACGCGGACACGAGACGCTTGACCGCACTCATACCTGCGCATGCAGGCAAGACACAACAAAATCCAAGAACACATATACACGTCTAGCCGAACCATTGCTACAATGCTTTTCTTACAATGTAAACCCGAAAGAAGGAGGGGGGGGGGGGGTGATAAGCCAAAATCTCAAGTCAACCGACAATGTTTCTGTAAAAGCATGCGACTTTCGTCGTCCAGCATAGCAAGCTGTGTTCATTTAGGAGGGTGAGGAGGGTGCCGAGCAAGAAATGAACGATGTTCGTTTCCAGGATCACTAAAAACTTTTCCGAAGGCCCCTTACTGTCGATGATCAAAGGCCGCAAGGATCTGGATTTCTCTGAGAGTGATTTCACATCTTGTTCAGGTGACTAAATTTGTGCAGAAAGTGATCACGTCGTGTGGACAGTGGAACCAACATGGCCGACATCATGTGACCCATAGATGCAAGGGGGTTGAGTTTGGTTGGAATTAACATGGCTGTCCGGTATAGTGATGTGATAGATGTGAAACCACGTTCTCGCTCTTTCCGGTACCATGTCGGTTGTGTGACAGTATATGCAGTCAGTGATGATGGGAAAGTCCCTACTGTAGGTCGGGGGGGGGGGGGGGGGGCGGATATGAAACTGCCCACTGTTACTAACATCAAGAGTACATACCCCCACCCCCCAGAGTGTGCAACGCCTGATCCAGCTCTGCATAGGGTGTTGGTCGAGCGCAATCGGATCTTCTGATGTCATGCGTACACTCCACACCAGCGCAAGGCCGGTGTCGAGGCAGGGCACCGTTGTTTTTGATCCAAGAGTACCCGCGACTCCCCGGGTTCCCCTCAGATGCGTACGGTATTACGACGCAAATATCCGATTACGCTCGACGAAGACCCTATGCAGAGCTGGATCAGGCGTTGCACACTCTGGGGGGTTATGTACTCTTGCTAACATAGTATCAAGGGTGCAACTAACTCGAGGATCTCTTGGCCAACATGGAAGTTTGTTTTATGACCTACATTACATTGTACATTTCTAATTTTCTTGCAGACAGAATGTACCCAGACACGCCTGTAGAGATCTCTGGATCCGCTCCGGTCCGTGGCTCCTTCTCAAGGGCGTTGGAACCGTACCGGCCGGGGCGGCCATGGCCGCCCCACTTTTTCGGCCGTTTTTGATTATTATTTTTTTAGCACACTGCAACAAAGCGCGATGGTCTCAGCACAAACGTGGCAAATCCTTGTCCCCGATCGTGGTTTGTTGCAGAATGAAAAGTCCATGTACACTGAAATGGCACCAAATGCCTGGGAATGCTTGCAGTTGGCTTCAATTTTTGATTTTTTTCCCGGGGGAGGGTAATGTTTGACCCGATCGTAGCATCTTCTTGTTTTTTTGCAGAATCAAAAAGTCTTTCATTGTAGTTACCGTACACTGAAATGGCACCAAATGCCCGGAAATGCTTGCAATTGGCTTCAATTTTTTACCGGTTTTTTTTCCCGGGGGAGAACCCCCGGACTCCCCTTCCATGGCCGCCCCACCTCCAAAGTCGGTGCGACGCGCCTGCTTCTTACTACGCTAGTGCTGAAATGTACTTAATCACGCTGCTCACCTGTATCTCCGTGACGCCACAGCTCATGCTCCTCACGCGTAGCAGCACTCGATGCCAGCAAGATCTCCACCTGACGTGCAATCTCCGCGTCGTCCATGGACACCGTTGTCAGTGGCGACGAGCGGCATCGCCGCAGGAAATCCGTTTCCGCGGCAACATCGCGCCATCTGGCGTGCCAGTAAGCACGGCGCAGCGGTTGCGATAGTGCTCGATTCGCGCACAGCTTGAAGCTGCGTGACAAATCCGGCCACCGTCCCAGTAGATGAACGGCACACTTGCAGCATTCGGCCATGACGTCACTGACAGGATTGGCAGTGGATTCGGCCAGGCTGCCACGATGCAGCAAGACGGATTGCGTTGCCCGCTCGCTCAGCAGACGATCGACGACTGCCGACACTTTGTCGGAGAGCTGCTTGAACGCCGGCGTTCGCTGCAGTGAACCGGTGGCAGTTTGCAGCGTGTACAGCTTCGAGCTGTCGTCAAATTCGCTGAATTTCGCTAGACCACTGCCTCGAAGACTACCCTCGACTTTGGCGAAAATCTGCTCGCTCACCGCCTTCCACTCGCCCGTGGCCATCAGTTCTGCTTTCAATGACGGCAGCCAGGAGTCATCGTCGACGTCCAGCGCCTCGCTAATTTCTGCGGTGCTGGCGTTTTCGTCGTCCATCGCCGCTGTACTTCTGGTCTGATCGCTTCGCGCCCGCGACTAATAATTAGTGGACAGTGTCATTCTTGACTTGAATGAGTGCGCACTGCGGTCGGAGTCGGAACCAATTCGTGCTGCAGTAGCATTCTGCATGCGTTGTCAGAAATCACGACCAAAATAATTGGTACTTTTGGATCGTCCCACAAACCAGGACCGACTCTGCTAGTCAAGGAGATGCATGGGAACGGTTGTTTCCAACCGACTAAAACTTCCACTGCATGCTAACAGTTCAAGACGATGTCGAAGCCCAAGGACTTGAAGGAGTCCAGCCAACACTCCGCCACCTCTCTTTCCTCTTCTTGTGCTAGTTATCAGGGTTATGTTTTCATTCATCGAACTCCTCATATCATACAATAAATTCTTTCATTCATTCCACGACCCGTTTGGCCCACTTCCATGGATCCAGTGGCTTCCCACCGGTACCGCGAGCAAGGCAGCCTGGCCTAGCGCTAGCGCCTTGGCGACCGCACTGCATAACGACTTGATTGCGAGCGTGATATTCGCATACAACTGCAGAGTGCAGTTCTGTCTATGCCATGGCATGGGGTGCAACCGGTTTCGTTGTGTGAGTCTGTGACTTGCCTGGTGCACATGTTTTCACGACTCGCTGGAAGCTGGTAGATCTGCATCATGTCGAGAGTGTTTATGACCGGAAGATCTACTCCTCATCAGATCATGTAGATATCTGCATGGAACTAGTAGATCTACTTTGGAAGGCACAACGGACGGTACGTCGGTAGATCTACATGTTCTGAAGCCGATTTGAGCTGCGCCTTCACCATGAAGTCTTGAAACCGCAATCCTGCGTGAGGATTGCAAATCAGAGGATCAGATCTGTCATGGTGCTATTTTACAGAACAATGGTTTCGAAGCCCTGGTTTCTAGCAATCCTAGTAACCCATAATCTATTTATCAGCTGGTCTCTTCGCCTCTTCCTCGTGCTCAGGCTCCGGGATGCAGTAAGGGTCCGGACCCCGGCCAAACTATCGCATGGATACTCTGACACTCACTGACACAGACTGTCAGTGCACGGCTCACGACAACCTGTGAACTGGGTTCAGTGCAGAGGTGTGCCGAGTGATCGCTCGAAAATCGGAGATTGACTGCCGACACAATCCAGGGGCAGTGCAGTGCGGACAGGATCCATTCATCTTTCGTCTGTGTCCAGTGGTGTCTGTCAGCGGAGAGTGTGAGCTCATGGGTCAGTGATAGTGGGCCAAGTCGATCCACCCTGTTGAGTGTTGTTGACTGGATGTGATCCGACAGCCTGAGTCGGTGTAGATCTACACTATGCGTACGTGAACTGTTTTCATCCGACCTGCTTCGAATGAAAGAAACGATCCAGAGTTTCTACCTCTGTCGTTTGGGATGGTGGTTGAGCTAACGTGTAGCTTGAAGAAGGGAGAAGCTGGATCAGTTCAGGAACCTCCGTCCTCGGATTCACCGAACCAAGTCTAAGAGCGAAAGACGGATTTGCTTGACATCGAAATCAAGTACAGAACTAGCGTTTCAACAGCAAGATTTCAATCGAGTCGATTGTAAGGAGCGTAGGAAAGACTGTGATCGGCGATGATGGCTGCTGTGAGCGAATCCCCGGAAGCTACATCTCCGCACTCACCAGCCGACGCCGTCGAGGGTGAGGATCAGCTGGGTGCGATCGGGAAACCTGCGCCAGGTGCTGCGCTGCGTTTTCGCCGTCACAGCGGTTCTGGTGTGGCCCAGAGTGTGCGTGGGGTGCGAGGTGGTGTCCTGCAGAAGCTGCGTGGCTTTGAGAAGCGTGCGGAGGAGGCTGAGCTCTCACCACTGGCATTACGTCTACAGAAGGTAACTGGGTGGTTCTTTCTCAAGTTTTCATGCTTGGCATATTCTACAATCATGATCTTCGGGTGACCTGAAAGCTTTCTCCAAGTGACAACACAGTCATGAGCACAAGTACCTCTCCGAAGTCCCCCTGAGCTCAGTGCTACCTAATCAGGTCTGTACTGACTCTACTAACTAATTTTTGCACCAACCTGAGCCAGGGGCGCAGGCAGGGGGGGGGGGGTGCTTTGGGTGCCAAAGCCCCCCCCCCTCAAAAATTTCGATCTTGGTTCACAGCTACACTGTAGCTGTTTCGAGAGAGACTATAGCAGACCCGCTGATCACATGCGCAACTCTGCACATCGCACACTGTAGCCATCCCTGTTTTAGACCAGGGAGTAGTAGGTACTACTCCCTGGTTCAGACCTGCAAGTACAATGTATCTGAAACCAATCCACATGCAGTGGAGTATTAATTTTTGTCTCATGATTGGCCATTTTGCATTGAAATTTCTAGTCAAGGGAACTCCGCTTCGTACCTGCCGTTGTGCAGTGTCACATCAGGCCTCAGCAGGCTAAGCTCATGATTTGTATCGCACTCCACATGTTTTGTTAGAACCAAAGAATCATACAAACACGCCATTGGTAGAAGCAAGGAAGTAGCAACGCGGTCTATGGAAGGAAAGCACACGTCAGACATAGCAATTTGTTCTCGCTATGTTTTGTATAATGTAGTTCTCGCTGTTAATTGGTCTCATTTTGGAAAGGCAAAGTTTCTTTCATGCATTGCAAGTGTGGATACAGCAGTAGAAGAGTGAAATTAACGTTGAAGTGGAGTTTGAGTTTTTGTGGGGAATAGTGTAGGTTTGATCAAGGATGTCTTACTGCACTATCAAACATGACGAAGGGGAAAAAAGGCTCGAGAAATCCCACTTTAAAAGTTCGATGGAGAGTGTGATAATTCTGGAGAAAGCAGCATCCAGGACTTAGTCCATCATTAGTTGGAAGCAGACCAGGGTGAAGTAAAATACCATAATCATTACTACTCCCTGGTTGGAGATTTGCCATTCACTGATTGATCTTCAGTGTCGAATTAGGGGCGAATGTTGCTCCCCCCCCCCCCCCCCATTCACGGATCGAATAATATGCATGAAAGGACCAACATAAGCGCATGTACCAGGCTTTTGTGTGGGGAAAGTCGTGGCACCCCCCTTGATCACTATCCTGGCTATGCCCCTGAACCTCCCATGCTCCTGATCGCGCCCGCAGCTTCCAAGTCCCCCCCCCCGTCTGCATAAACACTGCCATAAACACCCCCATGAACGACCGCATTAGCACCCACGTAAGCACCTGTGGCCGCATCACCACCCTCATAACCACCTACAGTGGATCCCAGTAGGATATAGTCTTTACTATACTGACTGTAAAAGCAGAAATTTTCGGTGGTGTTTTCATTTTCGGTAACTTCGGTGCCGAAATTGTTACCGAAAATAAACGCACCGAATATTTCGGTGCAGTACTAGTACGCTTACCTGGAAAACGAGTTTACCAAAAATTTCCCTCCGCCGAACCGCCAATTTTGGAGAATACCGAAAATACTACACCACCGAAAATGTCTGCTTTTCGGACTGAAAATTACGTGTTCGTATTGGTGTCCATGTGCTTTTGCAGCATGCTGGAAAACGAGTCTCATTTGAAAGGCAATTTGTTTACCAGGAGCTCGCTGTCATACAGTTTTAACATGTTATTGCGGCTCTGCGGTGGGCATCCATAATGTGTGTGTGTGTGTGTGTGTGTGTGTGTGTGTGTGTGCGCGCGCGCGCGTGTGTGTGTGTGTGTGTGTGTGTGTGTTGTATGTGCATGTATGTGCATGTGTGTGTGCATACATGCGTGCAGGAAGAGCAGCCAGCAGACAATGACTCGGCGGGCAAGATTGTGCTCTACACCACCAGTATGAAGGCTGTACGCGGTACACATGGAGAGTGTATCAAGGTAACAGTGTCAACTCACAACCTTGCCGACCTTGGCGTAGCGAAACTCGATTCACTTATCGTTAATACGCACTGTGTCGTATAGTTATGGTTTTGTCTGGTAGAGTCCGATGCCTGATGTCATAATGGTCTACAGTCTGTCCACAAAAAGAATGCAGTGTGACTTTTTCATATATTTCACAAGTGGGAAATGTGAACAACACAGACAAAATTGAGGTGGATGTCAATAGAGTGCTCTGCGTTAAAAAAAAGGGATCAAAAAAGATGACTTGACCCAGTGCAAACAAAGTGAATGACTTTCTGTTCTCATGAGATGCACTGCATTCTTTTTTGTGGACAGACTGTGTATGTGTGAATATGGTGTGATGAGTGACGCGTATTTTTTTATATTTTTTATACTGAAGTGCACATTGCAGCACAGAGCGGAACGGGAAGACAGCACCAAGTTGAAAACACGACACGTTAGTATGGTCATTCCCAAGAGTCGAGTACGCGCTGGAGGCTGTGCAGCCCTAGACCATCGAACACTGAGACATGAACTGATAGAGGGTGCAAATTAAACTAAAAAGCCCTCGCAAGATTGGATTTCATACAGCAGAACTGTATGTGGAGAAAAATGAGAAGGACAAAAAATGTTTGAAACTCGGGTATTGAGCCAATAATAAAAGTAGAAAGGAAAAGGACATATGGAAACGAGTTAAGAGTAACTCTCCACCACTGTAACTAGATACTATATACAGTCAGAAAGTACTCTGTCAGTTTTGTGCCTAGTTGTTGCACTGCCTGACTGTATATAGTATCTAGTTACAGTGTGGGAGAGTTACTCTTAACTCGTTTCCATATGTCCTTTTCCTTTCTACAAAAAATGTTACGAGTTATTACTAACTGTCCGCCAACGTAACCAGAACATATATTACAATCTGATCCTATACAGTTTTGTCCTTCTTTTTTTCTTTAATAATTAACTTTTCTAAGCACTCGCAGACTCCATTGCAGCCACTCACACATTACAGGGTACCTCACTTCAAACTCTCCAACTACGGTCTCTTCGCTGCATAAGTTCACTTCACTTCCAAAAAAAATAAAATAATATTAGATACAAATGGAATGCACCATTTGTATCTAATTTGTATCTAATATTATTTTATTTTTTTGGAAGTGAAGTGAACTTATGCAGCGAAGAGACCGTAGTTGGAGAGTTTGAAGTGAGGTACCCAATAATTAACTTGGCTCGCCATCCGAGTAGAACTGAATGTGAGAGACTTAATACTGTGGTTCTTAAGTGCCCGCCCAGCAGAAGTCTTTGGGACCGTACGAATCGGTCTTGACTTGTATTATTTCGCAAATCCAAGCGGGAATTTCTTTCCAATATCAAGGTAGCGAAGAGGGAACCAAGAAAAAGAGAGAGAAAAATGTGTGTATGCACTGGAAATCCATTATTCACCCCAGGTAGGGTCTGGAGATATGTGGATTTTTGTGTAGAAGAAAAAACTGTTAGTTAGCTGGAGAGCAATAATATGGATCCAGTGTCAAACATGACAATTAGCTACTGTTGCAGGTATTGAGCAGGACTACAACAGGCACAGTCAGTAACCGATTGTGTAGGATACCGTTCTGCCTTCTCTTCTTCGTTCCTACTTCAGGTGACACGTCTATTTGGTGCACTACGTGTCAAGTTTGACGTCAAGGACGTCCTGCTTCACCCGGACTTCATGGACGAGCTGCAGGAACGTGTGGATGATCCCGACATCACTGTACCACAGGTCTTCATCAATGGAGAACATGTTGGAGTGAGTCGATGCCACCACAGAGTAGGACTTCTTTTTTTTAGGCTATGGTAAAAATTATCCTTGATTCTCAAGTACGCGCGCACCGATTTTGGCGGTGCACCGACGATTTTTTTATTTCTATGCATGCATATGCGCGCATGAAAACGGTCAATGCGAAAGGCATGAATCAGGGAGTAGTAAAATACCGGTATTTTTCTACTCCCTGGCCTGAATATAATGAACATGTGACCATGTATATTAAATGTGTGACCCTATCTTTGGAAATAAAAACAATTGTGGGAAAAAATCAAAAAAAACTCGCTCGCTCGCACCGATTTTTATTTTTTACCATGGCCTTAAACGGAATACCGAATTTTCCGGAGTGTAAGCCGCACCCCGATTTTTTGTCACGAAATACTGTACAGCTTATACTCTGGAAAATACGGTAGATTAACCATACACACCTCTGTACACTGGACTCAGTGAAATCTGTAACGTTTCCGTTCTTCGGCAACTGGCGGGGCAGTACTGTATTACGACTCCGGCATTATGCAAGACCACAGGTCCCATTCCACTCCGATGCGATTGCACCCGAACTATGAGCTGAATACACCCCCCCCCCCTCCTCTGCTGATGAGTCGTGCCGGTAACCTAATATCACAGATATACTTTGACTCTTGAGCTTGCATTGTATTGGTTGTATCGTATTTTACTGTACAAGCAGAAATATTCGTCTGGAATTTAATTTCATCTTTTTCGTCCCAGGAGCTTTTGGACTAAATTAAATGCCGGACTAGTATCGATTTGTCCAGCTTTTCAATACACTCTTATGATCATGGACGAAATTTACAACCGGGCGAACTCCTTTTCTTTGGAGTTGGACGAAATTATTGACCGACGAAATTTTCTGCTTATACAGTTAGTTTTTACTTGGGCATTCACAACAGACCCTAAGGTCTTCTCAAACTAATAGGGTGTCCACGGCATGGGGATTGTCACCCAGCCATCATCATCATGCCTTTCTCTGTGCTGTCTTGTGCTGCTTGGTCCAGGATGCCGAGATGATCATGGATATGAACGAAACGGGAGAGCTAGCCGCCATGCTCAAAGTATTCCAGGTAAACATCGCGATGAATTTCATGAGTTTTCACAACCAACCGCAGCCCCCCCCCCCCCCGCGTCAAATTCCGTAAATTTCAATTGGTTAAATGTATTTAGGCAGATCTGTCCTCCTTGTTGTAGAAGCTTCCGGTTCTCGCCATTGTACCACTTAGATCGTACTCTAATGAATTCTGGAATACAAAGGGGGGGGGGGGGGGTGATGTTGGACCAGAGTTCCCCGTTAATGAATACTTTTCCACAGCCAAAATTGTAATGGTGTGCGCACGTGTATAATTATGTGTGTGCGTGTGTGTGTGCACATGTGTGTGTTGTCTGCGCTGTTCTCTCTCTCTCTCTCTCTCTCTCTCTCTCTCTCTCTCTCTCTCACACACACACACACACACACACGCACGCACACAGCGTGAATACGTGGCGGACTGCCCGGACTGCGGTGGCAAGCGCTTCATCGCCTGCCTGCTCTGCCAGGGCAGTAAGAAAGGCAAGCGCAGTGCGTTCGGCACGCTCAAGTGCACCCAGTGCAACCAGCACGGATTGCAGCCGTGCCCGGCATGCAGTGGCGGTGGTAGCAGTGTCGGCACTGCCAAAACCGACATCGACCAGGACGCCGGTTTCCACAACAACGACGATGGGGTGTTGCCGCGACGACGAGCCATGACGGCACCGTCGTCACGCGTCAAGCCGGGTAAGCTTGACGTGTCGGTGTTTGAACGGCGAGAGTCCGACGGCAGTATCAACACGTCGACGACGCATAACACGTCACCGATCGGACGCCAAGTGCGTCCCCTACCGCCGAGTCGTCTGGCGTGCGTCAGCACGAGCAGTGATGATTCGGGGATTGGGCGGAAGAACGAGCAAGCGGGCGGCGTGGGTGATATCGAGTTGCCCAGCGGCGAGGTGAAAACGCGAATGAAGACGTTTGAAACGGCGAGTGAGGAGACGTGCAATGGCGTAGTACCCGCGGACAGCAATCCCAAGCCACAGCCTCCCGTGACGAACGCAGACGGTGATAAAGCAACTGATGGCAGCAACGTCGAAGGTCACACGGGCGGAGAGGCTGCTGCAGACCAGGGCTTCAGTCAGCAGAGTCGAGAGCAGCGCATACGCTTTGCACTGCAGTTGGCACGCAACACGGACATAGGCGGGGACGACGGCCCCCAGGAGCCTGCGATGACCATGGGCACCAGTGAACGAGAATCTGATGATGTTGGTGGTGCGCAGAGTACTGAGACGTCTCCGTCGCATGCAACTGCTAATCATGGTCAGGCGGGTAATACACACCATGACGTTGATGATGATGATGATGATGATGATGATGATGAGGAGGAGGAGGAGGAGGAGGAGGGTGGCGACACAAGCTATATCTGACGCAAATCAGCATAACTTTTCTAACTTTGAGAGAGACATTTCGCCAGTGGAAGAACTGCTCTTGGATTCGTACTCCACCTTTTCTGCACATACACTAACTCCAGTTACAGTAGAGACGCGCGCCCAAGAACGTTGTAGCCTGGGACGTTCTTATTTTTCATGAAATCTGGCTACGTTCTTATAGCACGTTCTTAGAAACAATCCGTACCGGATCATATGTATCCCACAAGATGCCAGAAAACCAACACCGCCGTTCTTAGCTTTAGGCTGTTGCGTTCTTAGAATTTCAGGCTGGACGTTCTTGGGCTCCACGTTCTTCAGCGTGCGACTCTTCTGTAGTCAACTGAAGGTTACTTGTAGTTCTATTTTGAATAAGTTATGCTATACCGTGTAATTGTGGGATACACACAAACATACGCTATAGACTCACCAGGCAAACACTCATAATATCCAGCTCACCAGGTGCCCATCACCCAGGCAAATATCTGTATGCCGGGGCTAACTATGATAAATTAAATTCGCTTGCCACTATTCCTTGAATTTTCGTATCACACCGCTTGAGCCTGCTGCTTCATTGCTGCATCAAGCACATGACATTGTATGGAGTCAAAAGTCCATAAACAGGTAATGAGCTCTTCCTAGAAAGGGTGGTCTAAAAAAAGTATGACCAAGGAAAACGTACAGTGAGTGTGATGAGTCCAATGACACAACACAATGTGCTGGCGTTTTGTTAGACTGCTTGCTGTCCGTGCGACCATGTCATTCAAAGCTGCACACGTTACTGCTCACCTTGAGCAGTGCAGTGGGGGTTAAGTTTCATTGACCGCAGCTACATTCTGTGCTACAGTCGTCGTCCCTCTTCAATCCAGCACTTATTACACCAGCACAATAATCAGTAGCCAAAATGTCCTTTTCATTAGGCCTACTTTCCATGCACATGGCAGCAGTAAATCAGTTGAGCTATCCAGCACCCTCCCTAATCCAGCAGAATTTCCATAGCACAAATGGTGCGGGATTTAGAAAGGGACCACTGTATGACCTGTTGGTGCTTCGCATTGTACCACACTGTCACCGCACCACAACTATACATACTGCTGTACTGACCCGAAGCAGAAATCCACACGGTCAGCCGATCCTGTACCGCGCACCAAGTTGATTTCTATCACGAATACTGTAGAACGGGCAATTTTTAATAGCGACTATTAATTTTAGCGTTTTCCCATTGTCAACCGGTTAGCGACGTTTCATTTTAGCGATTTGCAGCGATTTTACTCAAAATCACCAGTGCACTACTAATGTCTCAACAGATTAGCGACTTGAAACTTTAGCGAAAATGAGTAGATCGCTAAATTCGCTAGGGTTTTTACGTCGCTAAAATGACCCGATCTACAGTACGCACTAGTCCTGGCCACCTGCCTGCCAAACTCAGTGACCCCTGGTCAGTGAGTGCTCTCCGACACTCAACACGTACAGTCCGGAGAACAGAAGACGATGAACGAATCACTGCATCACGGCGTTCAAACTCCGGGAGACTCAAGCAGGAACCCTGCCACCGGTGATCATTGCTAACCACAAGCAACCCTGTCTCATATTATTTAATTTGAAAGATTCTCCGTAAAGCATTGGCGAGTACAAGGATGCTAAGCGAGTGGTCTATGATAATTATTATATTATTTTGACAATAACCTACACCAGAATACACCTGATAATGGTGAATGTAGCGAACACAGTGGCAGGCTGGCTTCGAGCAGCAGAGCTACGCTATATCAATACACGTGGAAGGAGAGGAAAGTCAATGTCAGCTCATCAGCAACAATTGAATAGAAAGACGTGATGTAGGAAGACAGCGCTGGAGGTACAGGTACAGCCGTGGAGCCGTTGCATCAGTCGTCATCCGAGTCCTCAGCCAGTACCTCTTCTGACACCTGAACAAACGACACAGTACCAAGATGCAGACGGAAAACACCAGTACAGATCAGAGTGGTTCTACTACAATGACAATGACAATCTCTTATTGGCCACTGGCTATCGTGAGAATAAAGATTTGAAACAGAAGAAGAAAGCCGTCAGAATCGGGTTGTTGCGCTGGTGGTACAAACCACGTCATTAAAGACCAGGCCACTAACCGTTGTTGCAGGACCGGTAGAGAAGTTCTCCGGTATAGCGCCGCCGAAGAATAGCGCACAAAACTGAAAGAAGACACGCACACGCACGCACGCACGCACGCACACACACACACACACACACACACGCACATTCAACAGCACAGGATTGCAAACAAACACATAAAACAGCTGTTGCGAACTTCCAGTTGAAATCTGACGAACATGTTCACAACCCTACACCAACCTCAAAACAGTGTACGCATACAATCAACATTTCCGCTGTTTATCTTGCAGACAACAAAACTTGTTTTACCTGGCGAGAGTTTGGAGAAGCAGCAGGTTGCATTGCATTCGCGTTTTCGGCTGCTGCACCCGGTGATGCCATGGCAACTGCCAAACTTTCAAACTCGGTTCGGTCCACCACGGCGTCCTCGCTCATCTCCATGGTAACGTCTGCCGCGTCGTCTTCGTCGTCGTCGACAACTGCCATTGACAGGTCCGCTTCCGACGCCTGCGCTGGGTTGCCACGGCAACTTGCGGGCGTAGCAGAGATCATGGAGATGGATGCTAGTGATGGGCTGGCGGGTACTGTCATCCGTGTAGACCTCGTGCCCAGGCCAGGCATGTGTGAGGAGCGAGATGCTGTAAGACAATGATGATAATGCAGAACCAAAGGCCATATTAGAGAGGTTCTGCAAAACGAAAATGTGTACGAACTTTCGCTCTACGTCACGAAGTGAGAAACTTCGCACTAACTTTCGCAAAGCTTTGGACGCGAAACGTCCAGTGAACACGAAATGAACTTTCGTGGGAAATTTCGTGAGATCAGAACATGGTGTACGTGCACTTGGCACGTGCAAACTATGAAAATGTGCAGAACACAAAGTTCGTGCGAAAATTCGTACACATTTTCGCAAGGCCTGTCGCGAAACTTCGTTCGAATTTTCGTTGTGCAGAACCTCTCTATTGTGAGTGCAGTGTGTGCAGACTAGGATACAAACGCATACTGTAAAGCGTGAAATTTTCGCGGCGTTTTTAGTTGGCGTTTTCAGAATCCGGACAGGTTTGCGAGGTTTTAATTTTGCGATTGCAGAATGTGCTACTGTATAGTACTGTGGCATTCTTGCTAAACCTTTCATGGATCTCCTTTTCGCGCTGTCTAAATTTCGCGATTTCCTCGCGGTCGCGAATTTCGCAGAAATTAGACCATCGCAATAATTTCACGGTTTACAGTACACACATACATACATACATACATACATACATACATACATACATACATACTAGGGGTGAAATGATTAGTTCGAATAATCGAGTATTTGTTCGAAAATTTCAAACGAGCGAGTATTCGAAATTTTGAACTCGATCGTTTATTTTTTTATATAGTATTGGCATTCTATTTTCAAAAACTTCTGTTGTACCGCTCATCAACTGATATGCATGCGTTATGCATGCCTTTGAGTCAGTATTTTATGAATTGGACGATGCGACCACCACGGCAAGTAACGTTAGTTTGTTATGAGATAATGAAAGTACTGGTGAAAATCATTACTTTACACTTTGTACAAGACGTTGGCGACTTTTGTTCTATGTTCACAGATAATTTCTTCCGAATTGGTTGAGAACTCACAAATCTAGTGCTTTTGAATTTTGATAAAATACTCGAAATAATCGGATACTCGATCGAATATTATGAATGAGTGATCGATTGGTCAAAATAGATACTCGTTCACCCCTAATACATACACATACCCACACACACACACATGCACACACAGACACACACCCACATGGACACACACACACACACACACACACAAATACAGACAGACACACACACACACAGCATTGGAAATAGAAAACCAACCCAAACAGACATACTTGCTGTTGGTAGGTTTCCAGCACGAGCAGCACGCAGAGGCGAGTTCTCCACTATACTCATGTCAAACTCAGAACATTCCTGATCAGCACTAGATCCCTGTAACCACAACAAGAACAAGAACAACGACTACATCGTGAAAATAAAGAATTCCAACAACAACAATCAGAATAATGACAACAAGAACAATGCGAGAATAAACATTTGAAACAACATCTAAGGCATGATCAGTGACGTTCTTGAAAGAGCAGCGCTTTTTGTCTCGATGTTTTGAGTCAGCGTTATAAGAGGTTTCCAAAAAATTGAATGCTGTGATGACAGAGAACAGGGAGCTGAGTGTGTGTGTGTGTGTGTGTGTGTGTGTGTGTGTGTGTGTGTGTGTGTGTGTGAGAGAGAGAGAGAGAGAGAGAGAGAGAGAGAGAGAGAGAGAGAGAGAGAGAGAGAGAGAGAGAGAAAGAGAGAAAGAGAGAGAGAGAGAGAGAGAGAGAGAGAGAGAGAGAGAGAGAGAGAGAGAGAGACTAGTGCAAGTCCTCCGCGAAACGCTGGAAAGCCTGGAGCGAGCATACGGCGGCTTCCGGCCCATCTTCAGGATGAAGATTAGAATTTAGAACCATCAAAATTATCTGCATATCAGCACAGTAAGTGTGTTCGATGTTGCCGACGAATCGACGTTGAATCCATTCATGAATTGCCCCTGGCTATTCACCTCACCCCATGTGAAAAGGGTGAATGGATTCCGAACTCATTCCGGGGCTCATGACATCAAAATCGAACGACTTGAATGTACCAGATTCCATTCATGGATCGATTTCATAGGCGGAATCGAACACACTCAGTAAGCATGTCCGCACAGAAACTGTACTACTGATATCTCTTATTGGCCAAAGGCCATCGTGAGAATACAGACTGGAAACTTACAAATTCTGAAGAGTCGTGCACAGGAAACTGAGACAGGCCTGGATGTACAGAGAGCATATCAAAACAAACAGAGTCGAGACTCAATCATCTGCAGCTAGAGTTTCACACACAAAGCGAGCCCGGCACCACAGCTCCAGCAAATGCTGCCTGAGACGAGGATGCGCTTTTCTGTGATATTTGACTTGCAGCTGAAACATAGCTGAAACATAATATTATTTATGGCTGCCTTCTATGTTAGGAAGATTGATAGTCAGGCACATGTAGATGGATACATGCATGAATGAATGGATGGATGAGTGGATGGGTGTATAGATAGATGGATGCATTGGTTGATGCATACTTTGAAGGTGGAAACAGTATAAGATAGATGGGTAAGTGGATGAGTGGATGGTTACATTTTTGGGAGTATGGATACATGGATAGATACAGTCGACCTACCCTTATAACGATAACCTCTATAACGATATTTTTCTGCCAAACCAAATCACTCCATTGACTTGTGCATACAATGCCTTACCTCTATAACAATATTGCTATAACGATATTACCCCTATAACGATATAAAATGGGCTGACCAATCGACATTTTCCATTTTATAACAATATCTAGCAGGCAACATGTAGAGCCCACTATCCAGGTAGGGCAAGCTTCACTTGATAAGTCGCGAGGACATGACGAAATGCAATGGGGCACCAGTGGGCACCTTGCTGTGCACATAATGTGCATGTACGTCAGTTTTTTTTACGCTATGAAGAATGTAAAAAATGAACAGAATTCATGCATTATGACGTATGTGTATGAAATGAACCAGTTACTCCTATAACAATATTACCCTTATAACAATATTTCTTGGTGTGACACAAATATCGTTATAAGGGTAGGTCGACTGTAGATGGATGCAAGGATGGATGGATGAATGTGTGGGTGCATGAACGCATGGATGGATGGGTGGGAGGGTGCAAAGACGGATAGTTGGACGGACGGATGGGTAGATAGATACACACCTGACACGGGCGTATCCATAGGGTTGAAGTTATTACGTTCTTGCGAGCGTAGCCATGACGATGGAGGGCTGCGATGAGCGGGAGGAGAAAAGGACACAGAAACAAAAGACCCGATACTGATCAAATCGGCTATCCGTAAGCCTACTGAAAGTTGCCAAAACATGCTAAGTAAGACCCAATACTGATCAAATTGACCATTTGCAAGCCTACTGAAGCTGTCAATAATTCCCCGTACATAACTCACACCTTCTTACACCTAACGTTAGAGGCAACAAAGGGATGCGCAAATGGGGGAATTCCGGTACTAACCGGTTCCTGGAGGTGGTTGTCGACGGCGGAGTTTCGTCCACCAGGGTTTCGCCGGGTGCGAATGATGCCTGACTAGCCACTGCATACAGTCTGTGATGAGCGCCAGGGTTAGCATAGCTCTTGTCATCTGACATGCTAGCATCACCATCGCCACCGCCATACTGAGATTCTTGAGCAGGATCTGAGCAGCACAAAAACAAATAGATAATAATTATAACAATTTGACTCGGATAGAGAGCCAAGGATTTTTTAGGAAGAAAAAGGACCAATGAACTACGAGTTACGCAAAGTGTCCACTAACACCACCTGCTGATTGTGAAGTGACTGGTGCTGTTAATGGACAGTATAGCATAACCAAGAGTACATACCCCAGAGTGTGTAATGCCTGATCCATCTCTCCATAAGGTCTTGGTGGAGCGTAATCGGATCTTCTGATGTCACGCGTGCGCTCCACACCAGCGCAAGGCCGGTCTTGAGGCAGGGCACCGTTGTTTTTGATCAGAGAGCACCCGCGACTCCCCCCCCCCCCCCCCCCCGGTCTGTACGGTATTATGATGCAGAGATGTGATTCCGCTCGACCAAGACCCTATGCAGAGCTGGATCAGGCGTTGCACACTCTGTGTGGTTATGTACTCTTGGCGTAACCAACAGTCCATAATACCCCAGAGTGCGCAACTGGGATGGGGTTGTGGGACGGCGTAGTCCGTGATGTACGTCATTTTTTGGGTCGGACTTGCCTCATTCCGTCGACGCGATGTACCACGTCCACACTTCCCCTACTCATGATGTCATTATTATTATGTGCAACACGGATTTCGCCGTCCCAGATCTGATAAGTGATCTTTCACACTCTGGGGTATGGGGGTATGTGCTCTTGGCGTAACTTTTAGCCCATTGGTCCTGTTTTCTTCTTATAAATATATTAGAATTTGCGGGATCCGCGTCAATATCACGTGAATGTTCAGAAACACACAAGCTAACCATTGCACCCCCGGCCGGCCGGGCTAGCTACAAAAACAAAAGATCAACAAAAGCGCGACAAACGAACTAGCACGGAGGAGGTACAGGAGAAAAAGGCAAAAAAAAGCCAGACGACCACGATGGGACTCGAACCCACAATCTTCTGATTCGAAGTCAGACGCCTTATCCATTAGGCCACGCGGTCAACTACAACACACAACACACTTATACCGATCTTACCAACAAGAACAAAATTCACAGATCGCATCAGACTCGGCTAGAGGCCGAGTTTTCCGCATCCGTAGGAACGCCACCACCCTACAAGGATCGAGGTGCAGATGCAGCTCCTAAAGCGGTGGGAGGTGAGGAGATCAGACCCACCAATCCCTCTCTCACTCTCTTACCAAAGAGAGCATAAAACCAAGAATGTGCAGCTCGAGTACTCGAGTGGGTGTCTGTCCCGGCGAAATTCCCAGATCAAACCATTTTAGTGATGCAGTGCGTATGAGTGCATGCTTGAAGTGCTACTAGGACGAATCGAAATGAATACCGTACTCACTCGATTAGAAGCCGGGGGCTTCTATTTTTTCAATCCCAATTTTTGACGAGGCTTCTATTCAAGAGGTGCTTCTATTCGAGAGGGGCTTTTATTGTTTCATTCCATACCAGTATTCCAATCGAATCTCAAAAACTTTCATATTCACAGCAACTCGGCCCCGAGTTAGTTTGCACACACTACGTCGACCAGGACATGTACCAATGTAAACATGCACGGGGTGTTTTTTGCACACTTGACCTTCCTACATGGCACTACCTGGTCACCCCATGTTTTGCGAATAGTAGTCCGGGCTTCTATTCGAGAGGGGCTTGTATTTTTTCAAACAGTCCTTGTAGGGGGGCTATTATTCAAGAGGAGCTTTTATTCGAGAGGGGCTTCTAATCAAGTGAGTACGGTATACAGTCAACTTTGCTGATAATGACTGCGGATATAACGACAATTCGCGAATAACGACAGAATTTTCATGCCCAGAGCAAAGTCCCATCCAACTGTAACACGTATAATGAGACTTCGGGTATACCGACACTTCGTGAATAAGGACACTTTTCTGATGCCCCGCCGAGTGTCCTGATAAGCGAAGTTAACTGTACTGAAAATCTTCATTGCATTCCTATTGTAGGGTACACCGCAGATACTTACTCTCATGAGGAGGCATGCTGAGGTCATCGGAGAGCGGTACGGTGAAGGGGTTGTAGTCATCGTCGTCATCAATGGTCTCCAGAGTTCCAGTACCTCCACCACCACCACCACCACCATATCTGTGACTACCAGATCTCGCACTCGGCGTCACGGTACCGAGGGACGGGGCCGTGGTTCGCCGTGGGCGATTGCTGCTGCTGCTGCTGCTGCTATTGCCACCCAGTGTCTGCGGTGTCCTGGGAGCGATGGTGGACGACGGTATTGCTGACGAGGTGCCGAGCTGACGGCACGGACGAAGGCGAGTGCACGCAAACAAACATAAGATACACGTATGAGTACACGGCATGTGCAGGATGCATACATACATACATGTACAGACACGCGAACATTTGCACATGCACACACACAAACGTCTGGAGTAGGTGAGTGACGTCATGCATAAAGCAGCGACCAATGCCCCCCCTCCCAGATATCGTCATCAGTACATTTACTCGGATTATGACCGGTGGCTACATAGCAAATGTTGAAGTGCTCAGTACCGGACAGGCATTACTATTGAAACAAGATTAAAACGTAAAGTTTGCACGTCCGCGTTACAACCGGCTACACTATTGCTGTTGAGAAACACAACCAGCTTAGGAAGTTTCGCTTGTGCCAGGCCACCACCAAGCCAGTAATACCAGGGTGGCAGATGCAGCGCCTAACGGCGAGGGTGAGGTGGTAACTCTCACAACCAATGCCCGACAAGGGGGCGAACCTCGTTTGCTGCATCCATGTTACCCTCACTCCGAGTAGTGAGTACCCAGTTGACCGTGGGTGTCAGCACAGTTCCTTGCATCTATAGTGGTTCACGCATGCAGCACCGCATTTGTTAGCACAGTACACGCTCCCTGCTCCCAGCGCGGGTCTCGAACTCGGGACCTTGTGATTCGCAGGAAAGCCTACAACCAGTCGGCCAAAGCGCTGGTCTTACTCTTAAAGTGCTAACACCAAACATTGGGCAGAATTAGTTCAAAATACCCCATAAAGATCAAAGAAATACAGACCGTCAGCGTGGAGACAAGAAACCTAACATCGATGAAAGCAAAGTAAGCGTACTTTCCTTTGTTGTCCAACTCTCAGTGTGATGACGATGTCTGATGATCATCACATGAAAACGACGTTCAAATCTTAAAAATATTGTTCCATTGTTCTCGTGGTATGAGTGCGCTCACTTTACTGTCCAGGGGATCAATTTATCCGGTGTCGCATCGCAGTTTGCTACGCAAAATCGATCTACTGCTACTCAAAAATCACAGTGACACGCAGAAAACTGCCATACATACCAGGGACTAATTTAACCGGTATCGCATCGCAGTTTGCGACGCAAAACACAGTGTCTGCGATTCGAAGTTCGTAGTGAGTCGCGGTAAACTGCGACACAACATACAGCTAAGTATGGCCCTGGACATAGACTTGTAGTGCACGCGTAGCGCATGCACATGTGTAGCTTTACAGTGTGTGTGGCTGGTTTGGCGCCACGAGATGGCGCGCCATGCACTGTGACTAGATTAGACTGTGTGTGTGTGGTTGTCCAGCCTGCACTGCAGGTAGATTTTACACCATACGCACGCGCGGGCCGCGGGACCATGGCCATATGTCACACTATCTCCGCATGCGCACCGCAGCACGTGCACTTGGAAACTAACTAACTAATTACTTACTTGAAGTGCAGCCCAGGAAGCACGAGGCGAGTGTCGACAAGTACTTCACCTGCTTTTGAGATATAGACCGCGTTGCTTCACTAGCAGTAGGCATCTCGACCGTTCAGGACTTATCTTTGTAAAATTCTGCTAGCCTTATTGATGAAGCCTCTTCACTGCCGGCATGTCTGTGAAGCAAGGTACTGTGGACAAGTGGATTGCTGAATTTGATCCCAAAAAAGAATGGAATCGCGCAGAGTCGAGTGGCGGAGCTGTGACCAAGATATTTTGCAAGATGTGCAGGGAGAAGGCGTCCTCGCTTCGTGGTTTGAGGAATTACAGCACGGCGTTCGTTGACGGTATAAATGGAAGTGCACTGAAGACTGCATTGTCGACGGAAAAAAACTGCTATGCAAAATTGTTGCGTTGCTAGGCAAACGTCGGGGTGTGTAGCAATTATTGCTATGCAATTTTTTTGAAGTAAATTAGTCCCTGCATACATGTACAGGCTATCCATGTTTTCGTAGCTTACGCCACAATTGAGATTTTGCATAGCAAAATTGCTATGCAAGAACACGACAGTAAATTCATCCCTGCTGTCATCAAATATAGAACAATGTACAGTAAAAACCTGTAACTAAAGACCACCGTGACTAGCGACCAGCCTGGTACTACAGTAAAACCTGTAACTAAAGACCACCGTGACTAGCGACCAGCCTGGTACTACAGTAAAACCTGTAACTAAAAACCACCGTGACTAGCGACCAGCCTGGTACTACAGTAAAACCTGTAACTAAAGACCACCGTGACTAGCGACCAGCCTGGTACTACAGTAAAACCTGTAACTAAAGACCACCGTGACTAGCGACCAGCCTGGTACTGCAGTAAAACCTGTAACTAAAGACCACCGTGACTAGCGACCAGCCTGGTACTGCAGTAAAACCTGTAACTAAAGACCACCGTGACTAGCGACCAGCCTGGTACTGCAGTAAAACCTGTAACTAAAGACCACCGTGACTAGCGACCAGCCTGGTACTGCAGTAAAACCTGTAACTAAAGACCACCGTGACTAGCGACCAGCCTGGTACTACAGTAAAACCTGTAACTAAAGACCACCGTGACTAGCGACCAGCCTGGTACTGCAGTAAAACCTGTAACTACAGACCACCGTGACTAGCAACCAGCCTGGTACTACAGACCACTTCACCAGGCACGGACAGTCTCACATTCACATATGGTTGTGCGGTGCAAACCTCTAACTAAGGACCACCTGCCGCTAAAGACCGCTTTCTCTGGCCCCAAGGGGTGGTCGTTAGTCACAGGTTTTACTGTACACACAAACAAGCACGGACAAACCTCACCGCGGAGCTTTGGGAGTCATCGTACGGTCGTCTGTGAACACGTTTCGGGAATCCACTGTCGGGCCACTCCACTTCGGGACTATCACCCACTGTGCTTCTGCGAGTGCGTGACGATGTTCCTGAGCAACACGTAGCGGTACACACCGAGTATTGCACACACACACACACACACACACACACACACACACACACACACACACACACACACACACACACACACACACACACACACACACACACACACACACACACACACACACACACACACACACACATAATACACACACACATAATACACACACACACATACACATGAGTATACACCACACACGCACACACACACACAGACACACACACGCACACACACTGGCGCTACATTCATAGCATAGTATAATATCCACATTCAGAGAGTGGTTTTGTTGCATGACGCAGAGAATCAGAACAGTGCAATGTTCTACAATACCTGGGGTGGCGGAGGCAGAAGAATCCTCAACAGCTGCAGCACGACGCTTCTGTGCTCGAACAGACGTGAGGCGATCAGGAACTGAGGGAACATTGTTACCTGCACACACACACACACACACACGCACACACACACACGCACACACACACGCACACACACACACACACACACGGAGACAACAGGAAAACGCATACTCGAGCACACATGAATAAAACATAGTAGCACTGAAGAAGACAAATAAAGCTGACTTAGTAGACGAGAGAGCTTGGAAGCTCAGGGCCCTACGCTATGCTTTTTTGCCTTGATGACCTAGACAAAAAAAAAGCATAGGGATGTTATAAATTCTTTAAAAAATTCCTTTTTTTAGACATAACCTGGGATTCGAACCCGCACTATCGCGCCCTGCATGCATCCCCCGGTCTTTAAAAAAATTCCTTTTTTTTAAGACAACCTGGGATTCGAACCCGCACTATCGCACCCTGCATGCACCCCCCGATACACTTCGCATACATACTAATTCTTCCAAGTTGCTTCACATTATGATCTTGCATTTGAAAGCCCTATTTGAATATGCATTGTGGCCAGCCGTCTTTGATGGTACGGTAGGGATAGGTACGGGACAGGTACGATCGAGGGTAATACGACACCGTCTCCCGTACCGTACCATCAAACACAGCTGGCCACATACAGCTGCCCGCAATATTCAAATAGGGCTTTCAAACGCAAGATCATAACGTGAAGCAACTTGGAAGAATGGGTATGAATGCGAAGTGTATGGGGGAATGCATGTAGGGCGATAGTGCGGGTTCGAATCCCAGAATATGCCTGAAAAAAAAAATAGGAGAATTGAAAAATTTATAACATCCCTATGATTTTTTGCCTTGATGACCTAGACAAAAAAAAAGCATAGGGATGTTATAAATTCTTTAAAAAAATCCTCTTTTTTTAAGACATAACCTGGGATTCGAACCCGCACTATCGCGCGCCCTGCATGCATCCCCCGATACACTTCGCATACATACTAATTCTTCCAAGTTGTTTCACATTGTGATCTGACAGGAAAAAAGCATAGTTTGTCATAATTTTTTCAATTCTCCAATTTTTTTAAGGCATATCCTGGGATTCTAACCCGCACTATCGCCCTACATGCATCCCCCCATACACTTCGCATTCATACCCATTCTTCCAAGTTGTTTCACATTGTGATCTTGCATTTGAAAGCCCTATTTGAATATGCATTGTGGCCAGCCGTCTTTGATGGCACGGTACGGTAGGGGATAGGTACGGGACAGGTACGATCGAGGGTAATACGACACCGTCTCCAGTACCGTACCGTACCATCAAACACAGCTGGCCACATACAGCTGCCCGCAATATTCAAATAGGGCTTTCAAACGCAAGATAATAACGTGAAGCAACTTGGAAGAATGGGTATGAATGCGAAGTGTATGGGGGAAATCATGTAGGGCGATAGTGCGGGTTCGAATCCCAGAATATGCCTGAAAAAAAAATAGGAGAATTGAAAAATGTATAACATCCTATGCTTTTTTGCCGTCAGATACGGATAGCGCCAGGCGTGACACAAACAAACAAACAAACACACACACAAATACCAAACGAGAGAGCTTGGAAGCTCAGGGCTCTGCGCTATGCTTTGTTGCCTAGCTCATCGTGCAATTTGTTAGAACTGATGGAAATGCTTTTTCCTTTGATTAGCTACATCATTGTACTGCAAAAACGTTTCAATGAGATACTGAAGTAACGTGTTCTGCATAGCTAGGGGAGCGGCGCTGAATCTGCCGATCACGGGCGTTCTGGAGTCGAAGGGATGTCTGTCCTGACGTTTCCTGGGGCTGGCGCTGACTCTGCCGATCACGGACGTTCTTCTTCTTCTTATTATTATACTGACGGCAACTAACATCCATTCTGATTGCATTTACTCGTCTCCCTACTTCGTAGTTCTTTCTAGAAAATCTCCCCATACAGCAGGGAGTCGTTTACATTATGACTCCCTGCTAAAGATCTACATGACTGTATATACGTTATAATTATTATGCTATCGGCCTACATGCGATTCCCGGGCTGGTCGACAGGCGGCCCAGCCAGCCTGCTAGTGGGATCTCGGCCTCGCACACAAATCCACACAAAATGTTACTGCACTGAATGCATTCCCCCGATACACTTCGCATATATACTCATTATCTTGTTGGTACCGTACCCTTGATGGTACGTGACAGGTACGGGATAGCGCCAGGCATTTCGATGGCACAAACAAACAAAAATATTGGGGCCAGCTGTCTTTGCTAGTACGGTACAGTACGGGACAGATACGGGATAGCGCCAGGCGTGACACAAACAAACAAACAAACAAACACCAAATTAAAGCTGTGTGGACCCTGGCTAGCGCCAGACGTTACTGAAGTAACGTCTTCTGCATAGCTACGGGAATTAAAGCTGTATGGACCCTGGCTAGTACCAAATTAAAGCTGTATGGACCCTGGCTAGCGCCAGACGTTACTGAAGTAACGTCTTCTGCATAGCTACGGGAATGAATTATTTGTGTAAATGCACACACAGATGCATACACACATAATAATATTATTATACAGAGCTGGCAACTGAAATCCGAACCCCTGAGCGGTGCGCTCACATCGCAAAGACCCAGCACGGGATTGTAACACTACGAAATAGAGACCGCCAGAATGAAAATGCACCGCCCAGGGGTCGGATTTCAGTTGCCAGCACGGTACTTCAAAGTAAACACACATGATGTTTTGGATAGTAGTATCCCATACCCCCTCCTGAAAAGTACAGTATTGCAGAAGAAAAGTGTCCCTCAGTGAAACCCAATCATGCGAGACAATGTCACGCTGGGCAGACCCAGATCTCTGAACACTGGAGCGTGCGCACTGGTGCAGGGCGCAGGCTGGACGCACGCGATTAGATTTCATTGAGCAACACTGTGCATACAATGTTTATGAATTCTCCTGAAAAAACCAGCTACTTAGTAAGCTAATGACAGGCTAACCTCTCTAAAGAGCTAACTTATGCATTACTTCATTCGTTGACATACTTTGGGAAATGGAGTAACCTTTGCATGCAAACTGGACACTATCCGCGAACAAATATAATCGAGTAATCGATCGTTAGACTAAAGAGTAATCGAAAGGTGAAAGTCCACGATCGTTTCAGCCCTAGCTTAAACCATTCCCCACACGCTAAGCTAACCTCTCTGAAGAGTCGTTGGCATGTCCTGCGTACTGGTCGCTTGACTGGCCAGCGATGTCGGTAGCTGTGTGTCGACACGCGACGTGGGACTTTCCCCCGGTGGCAGAACCCCCGCAGCATTGCTGACGTTGGTGTCGTCATTGGCTGCCGCAGCGTCAGGGTTGACCAGGGACTCCATCAGCGTTGCCATGACGAAGTCGGCGGTCCACGATACGTCACCATCGATGCACAGAACCAAAGGCCTGTGTGTGTGTGGGCGAACGCGGAACACATTGGTGAGAGTCAGAGATGATGAGCACGGACACACACAAATGAGCACAGACAGACAAACGACAACGTATTCAGGACCTGGAAGATATGTCTGCCGTATGGCACGCTGACATACTCCGCCCCACTCAAGTACTGGCACCACATGAGAAGGGATTTTGTTCAGTTGTCACTTAGTGTATATAAAGGTTGCTACGCGGCAAAGTCGGCAAAAGGTTCACATACTCACGAATTGCTGCTGTGATATCACTACCATTCATACCAACAGGGAATGCACTCACTGAGTTAATCACACACTCAATCACAACTGGATACGGAGCGTCCCTGTAAGTTTGTATCCCTGGTGATGTTTGTGCCTGGAGAGCACTATATACGTGGTGCTCTTCACACACAATCTTCCTCAGCCTACCCAAGCTCAACTGATGAGGGGTGAATTCCCCGAAACACTGTGTATTGAGCAGGGAGTGGTGCTTTCTTGCAGGTTTGCCGAGTGGAAGGATCGAAGATGGACTTCTCGTGTGCTCTGGATGGCAGTCGTGAGTCAGTCAAGTGTCAAGTCAAGTCGGCGGAATAGCGCGAGCTCCAGCGCGGGGAGCAAACCCTTTCCTAATAATCATCGCCGAAGTCGCAACCACTATTCGGTACAGTCAATCACAACCTTCAATCGTCTCCCTTTCTACACACCAACAAAGACCTCAGACACAGCCAGCATCTCTTTCTCTAGACAGACAGACAGACAGACAGGCAGACAGACAGACGGACAGACAGACAGACGGACAGCCAGACACCCCCCACCATACTGATACTCTACACCCCAGCACTCACTTGCCACCTGACTCAAAATGCATCGTCACGTCTTGTTGCGCTGCGTCAAGGAACCCCAGAATAGCCTTCACAAGAGAGAGAGAGATAGATAGATAGATAGATAGGTAGAGAGAGAGAGAGAGAGAGAGAGAGAGAGAGAGAGAGAGAGAGAGAGAGAGAGAGAGAGAGAGAGAGAGAGAGACATACATGTACATACAGACAGAGATAAGAATCCGGTAATAGAGCAGAGCCAGCCCCATGCCACAGGTACAAACATGATATTCCCAACCAACACTTTACAACCCAGGACCGTTTTCGCCGCATGCACATATGTCCAGTTGATTGCATACCCGTAGCTCTTTAAGGCAGAATGTCAGCGACGACTCCACGCCAATGCAGTAATGGTCAAACTCCTCGGGGTCCAGGTGGGTCTCGGTCAACAGTGCCTTCTTTGGATCTAGAATGGACACCACCAACAACACCAACACCAACAACAACAACAGCAACAACAACGGCCAATGACGACAACAGCAGCAAGAGGAGCAGCAGCAACAGCAGCAGGAAGAGCAGCAACGACAACAGGGGTAAATGAGATGACAACAGCCTTTTCTTTGAAATTGTTTTACAGTACAGATAGCGGAGTCCTTCGGTCCAATAGTCTAATCCATCGCCATCCGGAAGAAAGTCGTTGGTTACCGATTTACAGCATATGCTATGCATACATACAGTATGTGTGTTCGATTATCCGGTTCCCTCGCTTATTCGAATATTTTTGTGGGAAATGGATGCATGCGGTTATGCGACGTCTGACTGTATATCACCCGCGTCACAGAGCACCACACGTCTGGTGAAGTTGTACAGTGTACAACACACAAGTCACAGAGCACCACACGTCTGGTGAAGTTGTACATTGTACAGTAACTAATAGGTTTCATTCCAGATCATGGCAATCCCCTGCAACAGTGATTGACCGAAATCACGACTGCAAACTGTTCTTGTTCCTTTGCCTTTGTCTGTATTTCACCGGACGAGAAGGCTTGAAAGTATACTCGTGAAAACTATCAAGATGTTGACAAAGAGCCTGAAGTGTGTTTTTTTCTTTAGTATTATACCGTGAAAGTCCGTAAATAAGTACGTATTTACTTTCGAATTTAGTGACCACACCCGTACTAACTTTTGGGCGGGTACTGACTTTCGGGCACGAACTAACTTTCGCACCTGAGAAGTCATTTTCATGTCGATGTACATGCTACGTGCTGCATGTGCACACCATACTGGTACTTATTTCGGGCAGTATGTTTATCAGGCTCGACTTGACTTCAACAGACAGAGCCAAAAGAATGAAGGGGGTATTTCTTTCGAGCAGGTACTTATTTACGGACTTTTACGGGTAGTATTCTTGTCACCAAGGAAATTGTTCACCTACATTAGGGGCTGTCCGAGGTTACCAATAATATTTTCAAAACGAAATGTTTTCGTTTGTGGGTGGGTGGGTTTGATGGTGTTTCGTTTTGAAAATAATTATTGAATGCTGATTGAGAATGCCCAGTTACTTCTGGATGTCGAAAATTGACATCAATATTTTATTGGAATTCGTTTTACCTGCAGAAAAGGTGGGTGGGTGGGTGGGGGCTGAAAAATACTAAAACTTTTCGTTTTGTAAAAACAATCGGTAACCCCGGACGGCCCCTTAGGGCTGAAAATATTGAAATTTTCCACCCACCGGAAAATCTTTTTCCAACAATTGAGCAGGAATACCTGTCACCAAAAGCCTGATTCATACTTAATTTCGCATACAAGCCATGTGTGGCATCTCTACAACGTTGTCTGGCCTATCACACGATCACCGCGCAATGTGTTTCCTGTATGCAAAACGAAGTACGAATCAAACTTAACGTATCGGTTTACACATAAACCTGTTCCGCACACCATGGGGATTTAACAAGAACTGTCAAAGTTTGCCGTACCTGGCGCGTCATCGATGTAATTCTTGAATGCCAGGCGACTGGCTAGAGCACGCATGGTGACTTCTTCCTGGGACATGTGAAAGTTTGAAACCACCTCCTGGAGCAGCCTGCGTGACATGAAACACAAACACGTGAAGAGAGAGAGAGAGAGAGAGAGAGAGAGAGAGAGAGAGAGAGAGAGAGAGAGAGAGAGAGATAGAGAGAGAGATAGAGAGAGGGAGAGAGATTCAGTTTTCCCACAGAAGGCCAGAGTTGGGCTGAGTTGGAGAATGACTAACTTAGACTGAGCGGTGATGACGTTGACGGAGAGGTTCTTGGAGAAGACGGCTTGTAGAGACTCACACTCCTGGAAACCTAGGTTGTATGTCTTTGTGATGCCTGTTATGGACACACGAATATCCACACAAAAGCGACGAACAAACACACACACACACACACACACAAACGCACACACAGTCTCTCTCTCTCACACACACTCTCTCTCTCACACACACACACACACACACACACACACACACACACACACACACACACACACACACAGACATCCACAAAGACAGACACGCAAGCAGACAATGTTAAAGCTGAAAAACTCTTAACCAAAGCCCCACATCCAAACTTCTTAGCACATCTTTAGAACTGAAAAAAATCATAATCAAATCCGCAAGTAGAAGCAGGTTGAATATAGGCAAGACACTAACCATGTTTGCAATGCAGGACAAACACCAGCTTAGCTGCCAGCACGTCCAGGTCTATACTGCAGCGGTCCACCGTCTTCTCCAGTGTCGCCAGGGAACGGAATACCGACAGGCAGGACTGTGACGGGGCAAATGCACGCGTACAGTACACATGCACGCATGCAGATATAGACAGTCGGACGCATATACACGCGAGTGCGTGCGTGCGTACACACACACACACGCACACACACACACAAGCGCACGCACATACATACACACACACACATACACCCACCCCCCCCCCCCCCACACACACACAAGTGCACCCCCCCCCCCCCCCCCCACACACACACACACCACACACCACACACCACACACCACACACCACACACACACACACACACACACACACACACACACACACACACACACACACACACACACACACACACACACACACACACACACACACACACACACACACACACACACACACACACACACACACACACACACACACACACACACACACACACACACACACACACACACACACACACACACACACACACACACACACACACACACACACACACACACACACACACACACACACACACACACACACACACACACACACACACACACACACACACACACACACACACACACACACACACACACACACACACACACACACACACACACACACACACACACACACACACACACACACACACACACACCCATCAAATGACGTGAACACCAGGAAACGAAAACACAAGGGGAAGTGACAAACAAACAAACCATGACTGTGAACCCCTTAGTGTCACGGCCATGTGCAGGGATGAATTTACTGTTATTTTTTTTGCATACCGTATGTTAGCGCCTTTAAAGCCATGGCCTTATATTCGAAACACGGCTGCTTTCCTAGATATTTTAGATGTAAAATGACTCGCCCACTGCGCCATGCCATAAAAGTCAAAGTCCACACAGAAATATCAATCTAAATCTACTTGTTCACCCTTCCTGCTGAGCTCTAAGTGTGTTAGCATAGTACTTATTCCTTCATTTTTACAAAATATACAGTGGATATCGGTTATAAAGTCATCGGACATAGTGATAAACCGGCTATATTGATACAAAATGAAAATATCAAAAGCAAAACCAGAAAAAGCCAGTCAAATTATCATTATAACCAATATATCGTATATAGGGATAAATCGGCTATAAGGATACAGAATCACCATTCAAAACACCTCTTTGTGCAGACAAATTATCGTCTATAGTGATAGCAACACACGAGTGTGAGGCATTGATGTCTCGACTTGGAGCCACATGTGTGTTTTCATAGTGTATTCTGGTCTGATGCTTCCTGGATGATGCTTTTGGGCCAAGAAGTTCTTCACTCTAGACTGGGGAAGGTGCAGCAGCATGCATCATGTATCAGTATGCTACAGTAGCGCGATCGAGTACCCACACGTGTATAATGTGTATGTATGACGAGCGCAGTTGAAAATCGCCTGTAGTGATATACCGGTTATAGTGATAAAATGTGAAAAATCAGAAGGGCACGTTATAACCAGTATCTACTGTACTTCAAATGTCATTTCATTTATGAAGCCCATGGTTTTATTACTGAGACTGGCTTTATAATTGAATATACCGCCATGGCTTTAAAGGTGCGGACATACGGTAGCAGTTTTTGATATCCAAAATCTCAACTGTGTACCAATCTTGGATTTTTGATTAGCACAAAGAAGGTGTCTGTGTACATTTCCCGCTAGATTTCCCAGTAGTATGTGTCGGGCGGGTTCTGGATAAATTTTGCTGCTACTTTTCCCCCTACGTGCGGTTACTTGCATCATATATGTGCAAGCAGATTGAGAGTATAGTCATGTACCACCTACACTGCACAGTATGCATGTTACTTGACGGCGCAAGCTAGGCATGGATAACCTGTGTGTATTGCAGTTTTCTGCTAGTCGCAGTGATTTTTGAGTAGCAGTAGATCGATTTTGCATAGCAACCTGCGATGCGATACCGGATAAATTCATCCCTGATGTGCATTTCGACCTTGGGTTGGACACCTCAGCATTGCGTTTAGTCTGTACAAACGAGATGACGGTCATAGCTATTACTTGCTGACCCCAAATATGGCACAGCACACAGGTAATGGAAGCATGCGTACACATCTTCCCAGCCCCAAGGGCCACTTGCACTAGCACGTTCAGAATCAACATTCCGTCATATTTTCATGTTCTCCGGATGTTAGTCGTACTTTTTCTTACACTTGGTTTCAACGGCAAAGAAGGGGGTGCGACTTCCTAATTTCATTGAAATGTATAGAAACAATTTGGCTTAGATCTGAAAAAGGGTTAAGATGTATAATCATTTATAATAACGTTGGTCAGTGTCGTGCAATGTTATCGCATGAGCTGATTGTTTAGTAACTGGTGGTGTTAGTGAACATTATAGCGTAACTTGTAGTTCCTTGGTACTTCGCTTTTCTATAGATTTATAATCAAGTGCGACTTACTGTATAGCAGGAAATTTTCGGACGGAACTTATTTTCGTACGATTTCGTACACAGCCTCTTTTGTACTAAAATTAATTCCGTTCTAAAGTTTGTCCCTAGGCCCTGTGAAGTTATGTACACTATACATGCGAACACGTGCGTTTAGCATGCAGCATTGTACGAAAATAAAATCCGTACGAAAGGTCGAAAATCGGCTTTGTCCGAAAATATTTCCGTCCGAAAATTTCCTGCTATACAGTATAATCGGGGAGATGCGGTAGTCTTCCTGGACGCTACAATTCCCTGACACTAGTGATCTGATACAGATCACACAGGGGTTGTTGCCTACCTTGGCGCCGACCTTGCACTTCACGTCCTGATCCTCGTCGTCGTCATAGTCACCACCAGCACCACCACCATCATTGCCACGGTTACCACCATTACCAACGCCGCCGCCGGCAGCAGCAGTGTTGGCATGGCCGCCATCGTCGCGACGCTGCTCGTAGTCGATAAAGAAGCTCTTGTGGAAGGTCACGCAGGCAAACGCCGAGCGAGACGAGTTGACCGTGCGCAGTGCAAGCTAAACGAGGAACCAGCAACAAAAATGAAGACAAGGATAACAACGTAGGTTAAGTCCTCTCCGTGCACAAAGTGCACAATACCCGCTTACAAGGAGAGCAGCAACAGCAGCAGCAGCAGAAGCAGGAAAAGCAGCAGCAGCAGCAGCAGCAACAGCAGCAGCAGCAGCAGCAACAACAGCAGCAGCAGCAGCAGCAGCAACAACAGCAACAGCAGCAACAGCAGCAGCAACAACAGCAGCAGCAGCAGCAGCAACAGCAGCACCACCCCCACCAGCAACAGCAGCAGCACCACCACCAGCAACAGCAGCAGCAGCAGCCATGGCAAAGTTATACAAGTAAGAATAAAGTTGGAGATTGCTAGACACATCAATACACGGTGTCACAGACAGAATCTCTGCAAGGCACAGGCGCAACGGCACACATTTCTCTCTTCAATTTATGTGACTCAGCCAAACCATACAACGCCCACAATCACCCGGCTGCTGACAATTGTAGCAAGATGCACACGATCTTGGACTCACCGCCTCTTCGCCACCTTCCAGGTATAGTTCACTGCCAATCTTGGACAGACATTGCACGGCCTTGCCAAACACTAGCACCAAGCAATACACACACACACACACACACACACACACACACACACACACACACACACACACACGCACACACACACACACACACACACACACTACTGTTAATTGAATACAGGCACTGTGACGTCATGCACGATAACACTCTCTACGTTCGCGTAATGAGCGCAACCGCCTATGGTAGGGACTCAACCTCAGCTGCTTTTCATCTCAACATTCTGTAAGGGCGCGTTCAGACTACCGCGAATCCCGTCAAACCGTGAATGGCGACAAACCGTGAAGGACATTCACACTACCGATAAACTAACGTTACCGGCAAGTAAGTTTTGCAGCGCTCACCGCGGCACTGAGAAGGGATTTTCCCTTTTTTCCCCAGCCTGAGCACTCGATTTACTGCTAGAAAAGTTTTACTGCTGCAGCAGCCGCGGCAATAAAACCTTTCCGCCAGTAAAGTGCCAGTAACGTCACGTGATCAAATCACCTTGGAAGCTTTCCCATTCCGTCACTTTTTATCGGCCCTCTTGTGTACTAATGTAATATTGTATGCAACCATCTATGGCAAGGGCTTGGGCTCAGCTGCTTTTCATCAAGCATTCAGCATGATCAATCCTCCTCTTGTGTTCTAGTATTGTATGCTATGGCAAGTGCTCGAGCTCAGTTGTTCGCACTTGTTCCTCATCAAGCATCAAGTATGATCTATGCTCTTCTTAACCGGAAGAGATCACAAATCAGGGACAGTCGGGGCAGGTCGAATCATGAGATCTATAGTAACCACTGTTGCACATGGGGGTATAGAGGCTACATGAATAGCATCAGCTCCTGTGCTTTCTTGTATTGAATTTGAATAGTAAACAGTCGCTAGTTTCTACAGTAAGTTGTATGAAGCCCGTGTGGTAAATCAGTGCTAGTTTGTATGAAACCTGTGTGGCAAACCAGGTACTAGTTTGTATGCAGTAGCAAACCAGTGCCCGTGGTGCTAGAATTTGCCACCCCATACGCAGCATTTCAAAACTAATGATGACGTAATCACACTGCCTCTAGATGAGGCTCGAGGCACACGCACTACTTGATGATAAACAAAGCATGCATGCAGTCTACAGACCTGCACTGCAATATCTTGTGTCTCTCACACACACACACACACACACACACACACACACACACACACACACACACACACACACACACACACACACACACACACACACACCACACACACACACGCGCGTGCACATGTGAACATAAACATACATACTCACACACGCCAGCACTTACATTTGACGTGGGAACCTGGGATAACACACCGCATCTTCGCCGTATCAGATAGCAGAAGACCTGAATATAGCTATTTCAGGTACGCAAGACTTGCTCGGCTTCAAATTTGTGCATGTGAATGGAGATCAAATATTTCGAAATATTTTTGTTTCCTCACAACTGACCAGCATGCACAGACAGCTATCATTCCATAACTGGACGAGAGTCTACTGCCATCGCCTTATCTCAAAACGACAGGAATAAAGGACCAAGCAAAAGGCTAATCGTCAAGTAGTGCAGGAAGAAACCAAAGCCAAACGATCCTTTCCAAACGTGTCCAGTGCTTGTTTGGCATGAAAAATTGAACTTTCCCGGACTTTTTTCGTATTGAAAATGATTTCCTGTAGATTTTGCAAAGACTCCTGCCAAAAAATAGTCATTATGTACGTCATCAACATGCATCTGCACGTGGATTGCATGAATTTGAATCAAAAATATATTTTACAAGGTTCATCAAGACTCGATCGAGTCGTCTTTACGACTTCAGTTCATTATCTTGGTCGACAGCTAGCTGTTGCTTGTAGTTGAAATGCACTGGCTTCGTTTTGGGAAAGTAATTAGTTTGAGCAGGGGAAGATATGGCTAATCGGGCGAGGCGTGCAACTATCCTATCATCTAGCGAGGAGGACGACGACGAAGTTGCTGCCGGCCATGGGCACACTCCAGATGCGGATGGCAACAAACGCCAAGCCAGACGCCAGGTTCTAGCATCTTCCAGTAGCGATGAGGCGGGTGGGGTTTCCGGGACTGCAAGCAAGCAGAGAATGGCCAAAGCTAATGGTGCGTCTGTATACGTGTATGATGAGTGCATGTGGGTTTTTTGGGTCACCAGTGAACAGTAGAAGGCTTGGTGACGTGATCCTTTGGGTCAGTCAGTAGAAACATGGTACAAGTGATGTCGACGTAGTATAAATTTATACCAAGATGGATTATGGAAAACCAAAAGTAAGAGATATAACAGCAAGAGTACATAACCCGAAGAGTGTGCAACTGTTACTCTGATCTCCGAGCTATGTTTGCCCTACGTGGCACGCTGCCTTCATTACGTAGTGAACTGACGATCCAGCTGCCTGAATTTGAGTTTTCCTACGAATTAGCCTTAGCAATGTCACGTGCAATACGGTAAGTTCAAAGGCAATGCCTGTGCGCGACGCATCACGTCGTACAAAACAATCCGAAGCCTCCGGGGAAAGCGGATTTGAAAGCAGGAAACCACAGCAGTTCGATAATGACGCAATGGCCCGCAGCTCGTGGCTACGTAATGCAGGCAGCACGCCGCGCCAGACGCCATATTCAGAGTTGCATACTCTTGGAGTGATGTACTCTTGACAACACCTACAACAACAGCACTGAAGTATAAACGTGTGAGTTGTGTCAATGAAGCCGAGGGTAAAATAAAACTAACCGCGATCTACGTGTTTGTCTGTCATGTTGTGCTGCAGTTCGTACCATGGCGTCCAGTAGCAGCAGCAGCAGTAGTGCGGACAGCGAGGAACTGCCAACCATCGCGCGCTCCACCATAGTCAGTCCGTCCACGCCCAGCGACGGGCGTATCCGACCGAGCACGGACTTTGAAACGAGGACGACGCCGTCGCGTATCGTGGGCGACTTCACGCGAGTGTAAGCTATGTCCTTTATGCACAGAAGCACTTCTGTACGGTAAAAGTACCCTGCGCATGACATACAGTGGATTATAAAGTGCTACATGTATAAGCCATATCTTTGTGTGCAGAAACACTTCAGAAGTTCTTTGTGCAAGCTCCACTGCAGCCACTTCATAACACAGAAAACTCTACATGATCACCAAAGCAGGTAGTCTCTTTGCTGCAAATTCTATCATCTCAGCCAATTTTTTTAGGCCAGGAGCCACCGTCACGATCCTGATGATGGCTCCTGGCTTAAAATGTGTTTGAGATAATTGAATTTGCAGCAAAGAGACCACCTGCTTTGGTGAAGATGTGGGATTTTCTGTGTTGGAAACACTTCCGTATATGCTTTGGTACCTTGGACATCAATAAAACTGTGAACGGTACCGTTCGGCTGTTTCTTTTTAAAATACATGAAACTCTTGGACATAACATACAATGGGATATAAAGCACTATTTTGATGACCCTACCTGATAAGTTATAACGTCAATTATCTCAACCATCGATTATCCCTACCATCGATTATCCGAAATGCTCCAACTAAGGAATACAACGTTTTTTAGCAATTTTCGACGTGGACAGATGTAGGCAGTTATGGTGATAATTTAGCAGATTACAGAGAACCCTGGAGAAAATGACGAGCACGTGGTGTGCGTGCTCGTTTACATGCTTGTCTGTTTGTGCGTGTGATGATGGTGGTGATGGTGGTGGTGGTGGTGGTGGTGGTGATGGTGGTGGTGGTGGTGGTGGTGGTGATGGTGGTGGTGGTGGTGGTGGTGGTGATGATGGGTGTGTGTTTGTGCGTGTGTTTGTGCGTGTGTTTGTGCGTGTGTTTGTGCGTGTGTTTGTGCGTGTGTTTGTGCGTGTGTTTGTGCGTGTGTTTGTGCGTGTGTTTGTGCGTGTGTTTGTGCGTGTGTTTGTGCGTGTGTTTGTGCGTGTGTTTGTGCGTGTGTTTGTGCGTGTGTTTGTGCGTGTGTTTGTGCGTGCGTGTGCGGGCGTGAATGTGCACGTTTGTTTACGTGTTCAACAGGCACAATCGCTACTGCCGTGAGAAAGGTGAGGAATACCAGGACTCGTACGGCGGATACGACAGCTTTCTTGACGACGGCGACGGCAGCGCGTCGAGTTCCGACTCTTCCTCCACCGGCAGCGGCGACGGGCATGGAACTAGTGATGACGGTGCAGCTTTGGATTTGACAGCACCAGTAGCAAGTGAGTACAATATACTCGAATTTCAGAAATTTTCGGTGCTCACTATTTTCGGTACGAGGGCAAAAGGGCCAGGTTAGGTGAACAGAAAATTTAGGTACAGAGAAGCAGTTTCCTAGTGGACTATGTGTGTTAGTGTTTGTTCGGTGTATTGAAATTTTAGGTATGAAACAGACGCACCGAAAGTACCGAAAATAAAATGTATACAGAAAATTTGTGAAATTTACGGTACTACAGTTATGCTCGGTGAAATCCGAGCTAAAGTGCATATTTGACACCCTCTACTTGCATGGCCCTTGACGCCCTGGAAGTGGTACACATGCGGCTGGTCGTAGTGGTCGTGCACATGCACCAGTGCAGTGATGTAATCGGAACTGGTCCAGGGTGTCAGTTTTGTACTCAGGGTCGGATTTCAGCGAGCTCCACTGTAGTTCCTGTGGCTGTCGTGTACGGACCACACCAGCATTCCATTACGGTACTAACCGATAACTGCCCTCACAATGCATTATTATTATTGTTATGCTTGTTCGCGTTGACATCACCAAGAAAGCTTGGCTAGTCTTCGCATAAGCCAAATGAACAAAAGAAATGAGGAACGAGCGAGGCCAATGAGATGAACACACATACGATGCATATAAGAGCAAATTTCCCCGTTTTGATGTTGTGCTGCCGTGGTGACCGGTCAGCGTGAAACTTGGACTTGCTACCGACCTTTCTGACTGCTGTGTTGGAGAGCTCTACCCCCAGCGTTATTGAGCTCTGTGTGAGCAGTCGAAGTCCGCATAGTGTTTAGGCAGCCAAGGTGGCAGAGGTCGTATCTGTACATGTGGAGAGAGATGTTCAGTCCCGGGACATACCACCCTGTGGCCTAAGGTATTACAACTCCCAATGGAGAGGGCTGCATTGTCTACACGTTGTTGTTTATTTTAGAAGAAAGAGGAAGAGAAACTGATTGCGCATGCGTATATGTCTAGGCTAGTGGGGGAGACTGACGTCATGACAACCAGGTCGCTACAAGTGAGCACAGTTTGAGCATTGGGTGCCACCTGCGCGTGTGTCATAAAGTCCGATTTGGGAATTACAGTGGTCCCTTCATAATCCGGTACTATCTGTGCTATGGAATTATGCTGGATTAGAAAATCTGATTTACTGCTGCAATGTGCATGAAAAGGACATTTTGGTAACTGACAATTTATACTGGTTTACAGAGGAAGCTGGTTTATAAAGCGCTGGATTAAAGCAGGACGACTATTATATTTTCTGCCCTCTGTTCAGACAACACACGCTCCAGCAGGCGTCGCTCCAAGGTGACACCGCGCTCGCAGGCACTGCGGGCGTTGACTGAGCGTCGTCGATCCACCCGCGGCCAGCCGACCAACCAGGCGTCTCGCCATGGCGACGGAGCGGCGACGACGGCACCAGCAGAAACGACGACGCCGGAAGCGGGCTCTCCCATAGCGTCGGCCCGCAGCCTACGGGGCGATGAAGCCGCAGGTTGTCCTGCCGATGGAATCACGTCGCCGGTTTCAAGGAGATCGATGCGCTCAGGTGAGAGTGACACACACACACACACACACACACACAACTAACCACGGGGTGGTGCCTTTGCTGTTTGCGTTACGCAGAGCCCACTGACTTGTCAGTTTGAGCACTCTGGCAAGGTACGTTCGGGCCTGGTTTAAATCTGGCTTTGGAAAATTTATTTTTCATTGCCATCAGATTCGGCCTCGTTTCCTCTGTGCTGCGCTGATGAGTCCACAAAGAATGAAACAGTTCTGTCCGCAGAGTGAGCAACTAACCATACATCGTATTCACTCGATTAGAAGCCAGGGCTTCTAGTTTTACATTGCCCAATTTTGAGGAGGCTTCCATTCAAGAGGGGCGTCTAATCGAGTGAGTACGGTATCTGGGAAATTGTAACAGGATGTGTTTCCCCAAAGCAACCTTGTCCTCACACGCAGCCTCCGGCAAATCAACCCCAGACGAGTTTTCAAAGCAAACATCCTACCTCTTGTCATCTCTTCCGTATGTACCTGCTCACATTGCTCAGCACATCTATAGCTCCATTCTGCCCAGCCTATGTGATAAACTCCCTATTGCCATCGCTACTATTTCAGCAAGCAGCTAAACTTTGATCTCTCTTTATCCGATCCCCGTGCCTGTAATTCTTTTTCTCTTATTGGCCACAGGCCATCGTGAGAGTAAACAGTTTCAATACGCCTGCATTCCATTACTCATTGCAGCGATATCCGAAGTTCAGTGTCATTATGAGGCGTTGGATCATGTCGACGTCCTTGACAATGTCTCGAATGTCACTGGCATCATAATTATAGTTTGTTTGTTTGGCTTCATTTTACTTCACCATGGGCACAGGCAAAATCTGCCTTCTCTCTCTCTCCCTCTCCCCCTCCCTCTCTCGTTTGCAGATCACACGTCGCCAGTGGCAGTACCTGCAACTCGGCGCTCACGAAAGCGTCCCGCACCCTCCTCCTCTTCCTCCTCGTCCAGCGCAAGAGCTTCTCCGGCCTCGGCTTCTTCTTCCTCCTCCTCCTCCGAGTCGTCACCCTCCCCGCAGCGTCGGCGGCGCTCCGTCACAAGCGGTGCTGGTGGGTATGGCAGCTCCAAGCGCTCTCGTCGCCGTGTGGCCGGCAGCAGTTCTGAAGAGGACGACGATGGTGACACGTCACCCGTTGCCATGGATACCACAAGTAAGGATATTTCGCCAAAAAATTCTTTGATGTCATAGCTGAGGTCACGTGATATGTGTGGTGCTGCCCCTGAGAGAGATTTCAGGCACACTCCTCGCATCTCTCTTATCCGGACCTCGAAGTTACGGGCTCCTCGGTCTACAGGGCACACTGTGGGTGGAGCTATTACCACTCTTGTCAGTTTCTGTGGAAATGGTGACGTAACTGACGTCGTACTGTAAGTCTTCAAATTTTCGCCCCATTCAAATTTCCGCCTCCCAGGGCTAAAACCCATTTCGGCCGCATCAAATTTCCGGCCTGTATTGCTGCCGCATGTATACACTGTCACACTGAACCTTGCAAAACAAGTTTTCGGCCTAACATGACCGGACCGAAATAGCCGAGAATAAATATGCGCTGAATATTTGCTGACTTACAGTATGGCAGATCTCTGGCCCTTCTCCATTGAAACGTGTGTGCCTGGTCATGGAGCGCCCGAATAAGCAAGATACGCGGGTTCTTTGGTTTATTCCTGTCCGTCCTCCCTGGGTGTTCTCGAATACAAGTACAGTGTGGCCGGGCGCCGGAGAACTGGGCAGTCAGCCTTGTACTACTCGTAGCCTGGGCCGTTCTTTTGTTTCATGTACTACAGTCTATGCACAGTTGAGTCACTGTGTATACAGTAAAACCTGTGACTAACGACCACCCCTTGGGGCCAGAGAAAGCGGTCTTTAGCCGCAGGTGGTCCTTAGTTAGAGGTTTGCACCGCACAACCATACATGAATGTGAGACCGTCCGTGCCTTGCAAAGTGGTCTGTAGCACCAGGCTGGTCGCTAGTCACGGTGGTCTTTAGTTACAGGTTTTACTGTAGTACCAGGCTGGTCGCTAGTCACGGTGGTCTTTAGTTACAGGTTTTACTGTAGTAGCAGGCTGGTCGCTAGTCACGGTGGTCTTTAGTTACAGGTTTTACTGTAGTACCAGGCTGGTCGCTAGTCACGGTGGTCTTTAGTTACAGGTTTTACTGTAGTACCAGGCTGGTCGCTAGTCACGACGGTCTTTAGTTACAGGTTTTACTGTAGTACCAGGCTGGTCGCTAGTCACAGTGGTCTTTAGTTACAGGTTTTACTGTAGTACCAGGCTGGTCGCTAGTCACGGTGGTCTTTAGTTACAGGTTTTACTGTAGTAGCAGGCTGGTCGCTAGTCACGGTGGTCTTTAGTTACAGGTTTTACTGTAGTACCAGGCTGGTCGCTAGTCACGGTGGTCTTTAGTTACAGGTTTTACTGTAGTACCAGGCTGGTCGCTAGTCACAGTGGTCTTTAGTTACAGGTTTTACTGTAGTACCAGGCTGGTCGCTAGTCACGGTGGTCTTTAGTTACAGGTTTTACTGTAGTACCAGGCTGGTCGCTAGTCACAGTGGTCTTTAGTTACAGGTTTTACTGTAGTACCAGGCTGGTCGCTAGTCACGGTGGTCTTTAGTTACAGGTTTTACTGTAGTACCAGGCTGGTCGCTAGTCACGGTGGTCTTTAGTTACAGGTTTTACTGTAGTACCAGGCTGGTCGCTAGTCACAGTGGTCTTTAGTTACAGGTTTTACTGTAGTACCAGGCTGGTCGCTAGTCACGGTGGTCTTTAGTTACAGGTTTTACTGTAGTACCAGGCTGGTCGCTAGTCACGGTGGTCTTTAGTTACAGGTTTTACTGTAGTACCAGGCTGGTCGCTAGTCACGGTGGTCTTTAGTTACAGGTTTTACTGTAGTACCAGGCTGGTCGCTAGTCACGGTGGTCTTTAGTTACAGGTTTTACTGTAGTAGCAGGCTGGTCGCTAGTCACGGTGGTCTTTAGTTACAGGTTTTACTGTAGTACCAGGCTGGTCGCTAGTCACGGTGGTCTTTAGTTACAGGTTTTACTGTAGTACCAGGCTGGTCGCTAGTCACGGTGGTCTTTAGTTACAGGTTTTACTGTAGTAGCAGGCTGGTCGCTAGTCACGGTGGTCTTTAGTTACAGGTTTTACTGTAGTACCAGGCTGGTCGCTAGTCACGGTGGTCTTTAGTTACAGGTTTTACTGTAGTACCAGGCTGGTCGCTAGTCACGGTGGTCTTTAGTTACAGGTTTTACTGTAGTACCAGGCTGGTCGCTAGTCACAGTGGTCTTTAGTTACAGGTTTTACTGTAGTACCAGGCTAGTCACGGTGGTCTTTAGTTACAGGTTTTACTGTAGTACCAGGCTGGTCGCTAGTCACGGTGGTCTTTAGTTACAGGTTTTACTGTAGTACCAGGCTGGTCGCTAGTCACGGTGGTCTTTAGTTACAGGTTTTACTGTAGTAGCAGGCTGGTCGCTAGTCACGGTGGTCTTTAGTTACAGGTTTTACTGTAGTACCAGGCTGGTCGCTAGTCACGGTGGTCTTTAGTTACAGGTTTTACTGTAGTACCAGGCTGGTCGCTAGTCACGGTGGTCTTTAGTTACAGGTTTTACTGTAGTACCAGGCTGGTCGCTAGTCACGGTGGTCTTTAGTTACAGGTTTTACTGTAGTACCAGGCTGGTCGCTAGTCACGGTGGTCTTTAGTTACAGGTTTTACTGTAGTACCAGGCTGGTCGCTAGTCACGGTGGTCTTTAGTTACAGGTTTTACTGTAGTAGCAGGCTGGTCGCTAGTCACGGTGGTCTTTAGTTACAGGTTTTACTGTAGTACCAGGCTGGTCGCTAGTCACGGTGGTCTTTAGTTACAGGTTTTACTGTAGTACCAGGCTGGTCGCTAGTCACGGTGGTCTTTAGTTACAGGTTTTACTGTAGTAGCAGGCTGGTCGCTAGTCACGGTGGTCTTTAGTTACAGGTTTTACTGTAGTACCAGGCTGGTCGCTAGTCACGGTGGTCTTTAGTTACAGGTTTTACTGTAGTACCAGGCTGGTCGCTAGTCACGGTGGTCTTTAGTTACAGGTTTTACTGTAGTAGCAGGCTGGTCGCTAGTCACGGTGGTCTTTAGTTACAGGTTTTACTGTAGTACCAGGCTGGTCGCTAGTCACGGTGGTCTTTAGTTACAGGTTTTACTGTAGTACCAGGCTGGTCGCTAGTCACAGTGGTCTTTAGTTACAGGTTTTACTGTAGTACCAGGCTGGTCGCTAGTCACGGTGGTCTTTAGTTACAGGTTTTACTGTAGTACCAGGCTGGTCGCTAGTCACGGTGGTCTTTAGTTACAGGTTTTACTGTAGTACCAGGCTGGTCGCTAGTCACGGTGGTCTTTAGTTACAGGTTTTACTGTAGTACCAGGCTGGTCGCTAGTCACGGTGGTCTTTAGTTACAGGTTTTACTGTAGTAGCAGGCTGGTCGCTAGTCACGGTGGTCTTTAGTTACAGGTTTTACTGTAGTACCAGGCTGGTCGCTAGTCACGGTGGTCTTTAGTTACAGGTTTTACTGTAGTACCAGGCTGGTCGCTAGTCACGGTGGTCTTTAGTTACAGGTTTTACTGTAGTAGCAGGCTGGTCGCTAGTCACGGTGGTCTTTAGTTACAGGTTTTACTGTAGTACCAGGCTGGTCGCTAGTCACGGTGGTCTTTAGTTACAGGTTTTACTGTAGTACCAGGCTGGTCGCTAGTCACGGTGGTCTTTAGTTACAGGTTTTACTGTAGTACCAGGCTGGTCGCTAGTCACGGTGGTCTTTAGTTACAGGTTTTACTGTAGTAGCAGGCTGGTCGCTAGTCACGGTGGTCTTTAGTTACAGGTTTTACTGTAGTACCAGGCTGGTCGCTAGTCACGGTGGTCTTTAGTTACAGGTTTTACTGTAGTACCAGGCTGGTCGCTAGTCACGGTGGTCTTTAGTTACAGGTTTTACTGTAGTACCAGGCTGGTCGCTAGTCACGGTGGTCTTTAGTTACAGGTTTTACTGTAGTACCAGGCTGGTCGCTAGTCACGGTGGTCTTTAGTTGCAGGTTTTACTGTAGTACCAGGCTGGTCGCTAGTCACGGTGGTCTTTAGTTACAGGTTTTACTGTAGTAGCAGGCTGGTCGCTAGTCACGGTGGTCTTTAGTTACAGGTTTTACTGTAGTACCAGGCTGGTCGCTAGTCACGGTGGTCTTTAGTTACAGGTTTTACTGTAGTACCAGGCTGGTCGCTAGTCACGGTGGTCTTTAGTTACAGGTTTTACTGTAGTACCAGGCTGGTCGCTAGTCACGGTGGTCTTTAGTTACAGGTTTTACTGTAGTACCAGGCTGGTCGCTAGTCACGGTGGTCTTTAGTTACAGGTTTTACTGTAGTACCAGGCTGGTCGCTAGTCACGGTGGTCTTTAGTTGCAGGTTTTACTGTAGTACCAGGCTGGTCGCTAGTCACGGTGGTCTTTAGTTACAGGTTTTACTGTAGTACCAGGCTGGTCGCTAGTCACGGTGGTCTTTAGTTACAGGTTTTACTGTAGTAGCAGGCTGGTCGCTAGTCACGGTGGTCTTTAGTTACAGGTTTTACTGTAGTACCAGGCTGGTCGCTAGTCACGGTGGTCTTTAGTTACAGGTTTTACTGTAGTACCAGGCTGGTCGCTAGTCACGGTGGTCTTTAGTTACAGGTTTTACTGTAGTACCAGGCTGGTCGCTAGTCACGGTGGTCTTTAGTTACAGGTTTTACTGTAGTAGCAGGCTGGTCGCTAGTCACGGTGGTCTTTAGTTACAGGTTTTACTGTAGTACCAGGCTGGTCGCTAGTCACGGTGGTCTTTAGTTACAGGTTTTACTGTAGTACCAGGCTGGTCGCTAGTCACGGTGGTCTTTAGTTACAGGTTTTACTGTAGTACCAGGCTGGTCGCTAGTCACGGTGGTCTTTAGTTACAGGTTTTACTGTAGTACCAGGCTGGTCGCTAGTCACGGTGGTCTTTAGTTACAGGTTTTACTGTAGTACCAGGCTGGTCGCTAGTCACGGTGGTCTTTAGTTGCAGGTTTTACTGTAGTACCAGGCTGGTCGCTAGTCACGGTGGTCTTTAGTTACAGGTTTTACTGTAGTAGCAGGCTGGTCGCTAGTCACGGTGGTCTTTAGTTACAGGTTTTACTGTAGTACCAGGCTGGTCGCTAGTCACGGTGGTCTTTAGTTACAGGTTTTACTGTAGTACCAGGCAGGTCGCTAGTCACGGTGGTCTTTAGTTACAGGTTTTACTGTAGTACCAGGCTGGTCGCTAGTCACGGTGGTCTTTAGTTACAGGTTTTACTGTAGTACCAGGCTGGTCGCTAGTCACGGTGGTCTTTAGTTACAGGTTTTACGGTAGTACCAGGCTGGTCGCTAGTCACGGTGGTCTTTAGTTGCAGGTTTTACTGTAGTACCAGGCTGGTCGCTAGTCACGGTGGTCTTTAGTTACAGGTTTTACTGTAGTAGCAGGCTGGTCGCTAGTCACGGTGGTCTTTAGTTACAGGTTTTACTGTAGTACCAGGCTGGTCGCTAGTCACGGTGGTCTTTAGTTACAGGTTTTACTGTAGTACCAGGCTGGTCGCTAGTCACGGTGGTCTTTAGTTACAGGTTTTTACTGTAGTACCAGGCTGGTCGCTAGTCACGGTGGTCTTTAGTTACAGGTTTTACTCTACATTGGTATTCTGTGCTCGGTGAAATCCCAGCCTATTCATTATTCGGCGCTCGGTTCTTTGGTGCTTGACAAAACTGTATTCGTACAATCGAAAAGCCAGAATTGGCTGTAGCTGTGGTAGCACTTGACTAGTTTCTCTTACCGTAGCCTCTTGTATTAAAGCCTGTCTCATATAGAAGCCCGTCTTGAATAGAAGCCTGATTTTCAAGATACACTGTCGGCACAAAAGCCTGGTTTTAGTGTTGACATACATAGAAATACCTGTCTTGTGTAGAAGCCTGTCTCATATAGAAGCCTGCAAAATGTCCCCTAAAAGTCATATAAGCCGCGGCCTTTATACACGACTTTACGATAGTTTCTCTCTGCAGATTGTCGCCTTGATCCTTGAGAGTCATGGCATTCCTGTTCCTACCGATGCGGAAAACTCAATCTAGCCCAGTCTCTGCGCAAACAAATTCACGGTTTGCGTGAGACTGGGCTAAAGGCTGAGTGTCCCGCTTCCTCAGGAACGCCACCACCCTCTAGGATCAAGGCGCAGATGCAGCGCCTAAGAGGTGGGAGGTGAGTAGATCCGACCCAACACAAAGTGGTCAAAGACCGATAATACGCAAACTGTGATTTCATTTTTTTCTGCAGATCGTCGCGTATCGGCACGTTCTCAAAAGCTACTTGAGGCCAAGCGCAGTCGCCAGCACGACCGCTTTGCACCGCTGCTGTCCAGTAAGCGTCGCCACGACAACTCCACCATCGCCGCTAGCAACGCCACAGGTGGCACTGAGGCCTCTTCCGGCCTTGCCGCTGCGGGCCAGCCGTCGTCCACCACACAGTCACGGAATGATGCCTCCTCCACCAGCGCCGCCGCCGCACGGCCGAGACGTGTGCGGCTGGATGTCGGCGACAGCGGTGACAGTTCTGCTGGGAATGGTGGCAACGCTGACGATGATGACGATGACTTTGTTGCCTCCACTCAACACACCTCCACCCGGCGTGCCAGGAGGACCACGGCACCACGCGAGCGGAATGATAGCGTTGACATCATCGCTAGTGATGATGATGATGAAGAGGAGGCGGATGCACGTGCCACGTACACTGCAGTGTTCGGGGAATTCCCCTCTCAACCAGGGCAAGGTCAGTAGCTACTTTTCTACTGCACATACACTGCAGTTTTCAGGGAATACACAGTGCATTTTATACTACTGTAAAAGCAGACATTTTCGGTGGAGTTTTTACCGAAAATAAACGGACCGAAAATGTCGGTATAGTACTAGTACACTTAGCTGGAAAACGGGTTTACCGAATATTTCCCTCAACCGAACCGCCGATTTTGGAAAATACAGAAAATGTTACACCACCGAAAATTTCTGCTTTTACAGTATACTGCACTGTTCTGAGGAATACACAGTGCATTTTCTAATAGAGTCCTGGATACTAGCCCTTCTAAAGCGAAATTTGTCTTATCAGTGTTTTACGAAATTTAACTGTACAGCCGTTGCGTCTCATTGCCCCTGTGCTCTACACGCCGTGTGGCGTTCATCGTTTGCGTACTGCTGTAATCCTGTTGTGTTGACTCTGCGTAGATCGTCCGCCGGCCAATCAAGTCTGGAACACCTCCTTGAACTCGGGATCGCAGAAACGTGCCATGGCGTGGCAGCCGAAGGACCGCACCAAGATCGAGGTCACCTCGTCCTCAAGTGACAACAATACCGGTGGCAAGAATGCAGGTAGGCAGCAGTGATCCTGATAAACAAGCAGGTAACTGCTTATTTATTATTTGGGTTTGTGAATAATAGTAAAATTTTTTTTTAAAAAGATTGATAACCGCAATCAATAAAACTAGCTGAACCGACATTTGTGTACTTTATTCATGCAATGTAAAAACGGTGGAGACGATGTGCAATAAAACGATGAAAATATGAAGAAATGGTGTAGGGAAAAATATGGATTCAAACAAGTTTTCGTACAACACTCATCAGGAATCGTCGTTGTACTAAAGGACACTGAAACAAAAATTGAACTATTATAGAAAATCTAAGTTGAGAAATAACACTAAGAGCAACAACAGTGAAATTTACAAGTGTGAATTTTAACAATCAAAGCGAGAAATGAACAAAGGAGAAAGGAAGGAAAGACAACGTGTTTGAATCCATATTTTTCCCTACACCATTTCTTCATATTTTCATCGTTTTATTGCACATCGTCTCCACCGTTTTTACATTGCATGAATAAAGTACACAAATGTCGGTTCAGCTAGTTTTATTGATTGCGGTTATCAAATTATTGTCTCCTCGCCGTGTGTTTAAAACAAATTGTTTATTTATTTATTCTATATAGGCATGTGCACTTTCATTAAAAAAATAAAAAAAATAAAAAAATCTTTGATCCTGATAAACAAGCAGGCAGCTCAACTTCTCGAAGAGTGGTCTATGCCCTGAGGCAGAGCCGCTTCGAACAGCAAAGAGAGGAAGTTGCTCTGAGTTTCACGCAGTTGCCCGTGCATGGCCTGCACTGTTCGTTTGCTGTTCTATGGCTGAGTTAGGTTCCATCTTGGTTGTGATCACCATTCCCTCTCCTGTATCTCTCTCTCTCTCTCTCTCTCTCTCTCTCTCTCTCTCTCTCCTCTCTCTCTCTCTCTCTCTCTCTCTCTCTCTCTCTCTCTCTCTCTCTCTCTCTCTCCTCTCTCTCTCTCTCTCTCTCTCTCTCTTCTCTCTGTCTCTCTGTCTCTCTCTCTGTCTCTCTCTGTCTCTCTCTGTCTCTCTCTCTCTCTCTCTTCTCTCTCTCTCTCTCTCTCTCTCTCTCTCTCTCTCTCTCTCTCCCTCTCTCTCTCTCTCGCGCGCATGAGGGCGCTGTACACTCTGCGTCGGAGTAAGGATGCGAAGCTGACAAAGCGATATGCGGCGACAATAGAGCTGGAGTGTGCAGAGGCATCAGTAGGTTCAGGGACTCTCCGTCCACCGTCATCTTCAAGTCATCGTGCAGGGTTGGGTGCTCGTGCTCCGAAGCAGCATTCCAAACCCCCAGGAAGGACTCCTTCAAACATTTGAGGAGATCAACGCGCAGGAGCAGATTTTGAGGCTGAAGACTCTTCAGGTGCAAGGCAAGTGGTTGGAGTGGACATCGGTGATGTGGCAGGACCTCTCGTGGAAATCCCTTTTGTACGGTGGTACTGGTAAGGATTTGAAATTTCTTCTCGCATCAACCCTCGACGTGCTACCTTCTCCGACGAACCTACGCCGTTGGGGAAACACCGTAGTGGATCCGTACTGTAGTTTGTGCCGTGCCTGGGCCTGTACTACGCGCCACGTGCTTGGCGCTTGTCGCGTAGCGCTGGACCAGGGACGTTACACCTGGAGGCACGACAACGTACTCGGGGTCATCGTCAGGAACATGCGTGAGGAGATTCGAATCCGCACTGCTGCAAACACCGTACAAACCGAAAATTCAAATGAACTTGACTTCATCTCGTTTTGCAAGGCGGGAGAGAAGCCAGTTCGCGTTCAGCCCAGACGGAAGTTGGTTACGACTGATCTCCTGTCAGCGGCCTCAGACTGGAAACTTCTTGTCGACTCAGTTAGTGCAAAGATTTCTTTCCCTAGCTGTGTTGCACTTACCACCCTAAGACCAGATATAGTTCTGTACTCTACGAGTCGTAGGATTGTATTCTGGATGGAGTTGACAGTTTGTGCTGAAGACAGATTCAGTGTCAGTAACTCGCGGAAGGACAGGCGGTATGCGGATCTGGCCGATCAATGCCGAGCAAACGGGTGGCAGGTCGTTTCTTTTTCGGTTGAGGTAGGTGTGCGTGGTTTCATCCCGGACTCTCTTCGGAGGGCTCTGAAAGCGCTTGGGTTTTCTAATCGAAGAATAAAATTTATTTGTAATTTTGTGCAGTAAGACGTCTCTGCGAAGCAGCTACATCATCTGGTTGCGACGTCAACAAAAACACTGGTCGGAAGATCCACTTTTCTGAGGTACTGTATGTGGGGCTCCGTTTATTGAGGTGCGTTGAAATTTATTCTCTTTATCTTATTATTTCTTTTCTATAATTTCCCCATATGAGTTCCTATCAGTTGCTGTGAACACCTTGAGTGGAGAGCGCTTGCTCGAGCGTTGAACCGGGTTCTTAATCCACCATACCCAGTCGCAAGGCTGGGCGGGGTTGTGAGCAGGCTTTCATTTAATCTTTTCTTATTATTTCTTATTATTTCTGCTTTTGATCTCATTACAAAAATTCTGCGCTTTTTCTCCATCTGCGCATAAAATCTAGACTGACAACCTGCTTGTTAAATCATGCACCTGCTTTCAGGCGTAAAAACCCTGTTGTAGAGGTCTCAGTCCTCATTTGTTAGACTTACCTGTCTTTATAAATGTAACTTACTCTCCTCTCTCTCTCTCTCTCTCTCTCTCTCTCTCTCTCTCTCTCTCTCTCTCTCTCTCTCTCTCTCTCTCTCTCTCTCTCTCTCTCTCTCTCTCTCTCTCTCTCTCTCTCCCTCGCTCGCTCTCTCTCTCTCTCTCTCTCTCTCTCTCTCTCTCTCTCTCTCTCTCTCTCTCTCTCTCTCTCTCTCTCTCTCTCTCTCTCTCTCTCTCTCTCTCTCTCTCTCGCTCTCTCTCTCTCTCTCTCTCTCTCTCTCTCTCTCTCTCTCTCTCTCTCTCTCTCTCTCTCTCTCTCTCTCTCTCTCCCGTCATTATATTTCTGCAGGGTTGGAGATCTCTGGTGATGATGAGTACAACTCCGACAAAGACTTTATCGTGTCCGATGATGAAGACGAAATCGAGGATCCCGAGGTGAGCGCTTACGAACAGACCCTGTATGGATAAGCCTGCACCATATTATGCACTACCGGTATGCGCCCCACAATGCCTAGTGTAGTAACTGCCTTTTCTCCACCTGCTCCCAGTCCCGTGCCATCTCCACACTTATACAAAGGGACGACGATAACTACACTTAGAAGACTGTTTATTGACACGACGACGAAACACAACTAGACATGACGAACTCAAGACGAAGACATGATGAACTCAAGACGAAGACTGCTTTTCATACCACAGCAACACGCGCATGCACCAACATAATGTACACACGACGTACACAAAATAACGTACTACAACACCTAGGCTTGTTTGTTTATCGAAAGAAGCAAGTTGACTCGGTTCTGTCACCTAACCCAGGAGGGTGTGTAGTCGAAGGCGAAGGGTGTTTCAGAGTACATACATGCTATTATTTGTACGGTAAATCTTCAGTATAACGTTTTCCCAAGGGGTAAAATATACTAAAAATCTGTGCTTTATAACCGAGGTACTATACACCTGAGATCAACTGAATGGAAGAAGGATGTCCAGTGTCCTCGGAAACCCAATGCAATGAGAAAAAAGTATGTTCATATGTCCAGGGTACTTTGCAGTGGGATGTTTTGATCAGAAATTTATGCTGAAGTTTGTTGTATCCAATGTACGTTATACTGAAGGTTTGTTATATCCAGTGTACGTTATACTGAAGGTTTGTTACATCCAGTGTACATTATCCTGAAGGTTTGTTATATCCATTGTACGTTATACTGAAGGTTTGTTATATCCAGTGTACGTTATACTGAAGGTTTGTTATATCCAGTGTACATTATCCTGAAGGTTTGTTATATCCAGTGTACGTTATACTGAAGGTTTGTTATATCCAGTGTACGTTATACTGAAGGTTTGTTATATCCAGAGTACTATACTGGCGTGTACCCCGGTGTGCTTCTCTAATCGTGTACAGGACAACCCGCCGCCCGTCGACCTCGTCATGGACCGTGCGTTCCTAGCCAGCTTACGCACCGACGCTCCTGCTCGCTCTGCCCGCAAACGCGCGGGCGCGGCAAAGCAGGTGTCTGGGTCGGTGCGCAGGACCAAAGCCAAGCCACCACCTCGCTCTCGCCACCGCGCACGCACTCGCCAGCTCAACCTTCGCGAGGCGGTGGGCGACGACACGAGTGCTATACGCGAGGACTGGAGTGACGATGATGAGCAAGCGGCGGTGAGAGAAGAGCCGGTTCCGACGGTGCAAGTTTCAGAGGTGAGAAATGTAGCATCACTTGCTCCTCTATAAGAAAACGACTTGCCTTGTACGAAAACTATTTACTTTGTAAGAAAACGACTTGCTTTGTAAGAACACGATTTGCCTTGTAAGAAAACGACTTGTCCTGTCAGAAAACGATTTGCTTCGTAAGAAAATGACTTGCCTTGTGAGAAAACTATTCGCCTCGTAAGAAAACGATTTGCCTGCTGCTGATTTCACTGAGCAAGATGGCGGAAATTTCGTCACGTGCATGAAACATGACAATCACCATGGTACGCAGGAATGGACTCGGATGGAGAACCAAGGTTTAATTTATACAAAAGAGAAAGGACCAAGGAACTACAAGTTACGCTATACTGTCAGAGAAGGGCGCTATACTGGCCACTAACACCAACAGTGGTGCTGTTAGTGGACATTATAGCGTAACTTGTAGTTCCTTGGTCATTTCTCTTTTGTATAAATCACCGTGATACAGTCAACTTCGCTAATAATGACTGCGGATATAACGACAATCCGCGAATAACGACAGAACTTCCATGCCCAGAGCAAAGTCCCATCCAACTGTAATACATATAATGAGACTTTGGGTATAAGGACACTTCGCGAATAAGGACACTATTTTTGATGCCCTGCAGAGTGTCATTATATTATAGCAAAGTTGACTGTAGTTTACGGCAGCGACGTCACGACGCTGGCACAGTGAGTTGTAGAAAATGAGAAAAAAATAAACATGTGACCTGTGATCTGTGACAGTTAAGGCCGATTCATACTTCATATCGCGTACGGGAAAGTCAGCGCGTGACCGTCGCGCGATGGCTTTCCCGTACGCGAAATAGTTGAGCTCAGATCAACTTTTTCGGGACGCAACGCGTTTCCCGTACGCGAAATGAAGTATGAAGCGGCCTTTATGGTGTGGTGATTGGTGGAAAATCTGTACAGTGCCGAATGCTGCTGCTTACCCCATCATCTAACCTGTGACCTACCAAAACACAAAAGTACCAACAGTGTATGCTACCCTGACAGACTGTAGTACGCACAATCGGAGGAAGACCAAAGTAATGTTTATTGCTGCTGGATACGATCGGAAGAAGGAAGCTCGGTCACTCTTCTCGATCTTCATTGCATGCGGAGCTGCTAGAATCGTAGTGCTTTCTCTTTCGACTCCCGGGGAAGAGAGGAACCTGGCGCGGGAGTGTAGACGACAAGTGTTGCTTCACTGTCGTGCGAAGGCGCTGCTGTTCATTCACGATACCCTCGTGACGATGCTGGAGCGAATTGAATTCGCGGTGGATGCTCTCGCCGCCCTGCTCCGCGAGGAGTCCCATACCATTGCCGAACTCTTTCACAGCGCCTGGCAAATGTGCCTCCAGAAGATGCAGGTTGGGCGTGATGTTGCCCAGCTGCCTGACCGCCACCTCACGTCTTGCTGTTTCCATGAACGTTGACACATCCGGCTGGAACTCGGTCACGTCATCAGGCGACATCCGCAAGCTCGACGAATATCTTCTCCTGCATGCAGCGATTGCTGAAACAGGGCCGTGTACCGCTCTTGGATCACTTGGGCTGCCGTGATGAGCTCCTGTGTCGACTTTCTAGATGGCTCAGCGATGACTGAGGAAGGTGCCGATGTTAGATCTTGTAGCACAGCTGGCTGGAGGGCATGATGCCCATGGTTGCCTATGAAGGCTCGACTGTGATAGCGCTGTCGGCAGGTGTGGTGCCGTTGAAGAATGCTCTCCAAGGAGGACTCGCGTAGGGCGGACATTTTTCTTTCCGCATTTATTCATCTCGTCTTTCGACTTCAGAATGTCGACCTCCAGCATTGCTGTAGCTTGCGCTTGCTGTGCGCACTGCACTTGGATGCGCACTGCACCTGCGGCGGCCGCTTGCAGCTGTGCTTGTGATAGCGTGTGGCTGTGCAGTGCGAGCCAGTCCAGCTGGTTCTTGAGTCCAGTGGCTGCGTTCTGCGCAGTACGCAGCTCGGCTTCCTTGCCACGATGCCGCTGTGAGCAGCAACTACTGCGCAGAATTTGACTTATAATCGGGGAAATACGGCACGGTACTCGGGTGCGTAGCTCGTGTATAGTCAGCGTAGTCCGTTTAACACACCTGCAAATAACTGTCATACATTTACTACTTGAAGTACATAGTGAAAATAGGCAAAATGGCGGCTATGAGGTTGCCGATGGTACATGGTCCCCACACCACAGATGTGTGAGGTACACCCCTGAGCATTGGACCCTGATAATCCACACTGCACCGTCCGACATTCGTAGTCGCCATACAGAAACACCCTGACTGTCTTGCCCTGCCAAGATGTTGCCTGCCCCTGGAAAGAAAAAGTCTTGCCAGTAGGATTTGGTAAGTGACTTGGCAAGTGACTTGGTAACTGACTCGTGAACACTATCACACAAATGGGACGATGGGAAAGGGCGAACTGGACTTGAAAATAGAAAATCACCATCTCCAATAATGGCACGTCTTCCATCAAATTAGTCGGACGGGTTTAAACGGATGGCAGTCGAGTTCTTGTAAAAGTAATGGGTATAATTATTGGTTGTGTGTGCGCACTGTGTGCTCGTGTGTGTGTGTGCGTGCGTGTGTGCGTACGTGTGTGTGTTTTGTTCCAGTTCTATACTGCCATGTCGAGGACTAGCCTGGAGGGGATGCAGTCACTTTGCAGAAGGATGCTGCGTATCACTGAGCGCACACCAGTGCAGAGAGTAGGACAGCGTCTGGGCCGCTTGCGTCACGTCGGTCTATCACCACTGCACGCTGCAGTGCGGGCCCAGAGGCCCGACATCGTCGCATGGCTCTTAGACCTGTGTGTACGTAGCGGACGTTGCTGCTTGGTATAACACATTGCGTTGTTTGTTTGTTTGTATTCTTTTTTTTAGAGTGGGAAGTCCAAAACAGGCCCTAGCCTAATAACAATGGTCCCACTAGTGAGGGAATACTGTATATCGGTGCATAAGTTTGATGTAAATAATCGACGTGGAGACAACAGTTTTATAATAGGTATAAAGAGAACAAATTCTGCTGTCATCGCCACACTACAACAAAGTCATGAAGGTTTACCAAAATCGATTTTCTTGTCACAATCATCAGTGGAAAGCCGTGACTGAAGAATAACCATGCTAATGAGTGATATGCAGCGGGTGCACAAAGCCCGTGCATATCACTCATTAGCATGGTTATTCTTCAGTCACGGCTTTCCACTGATGATTGTGACAAGAAAATCGATTTTGGTAAACCTTCATGACTTTGTTGTAGTGTGGCGATGACAGCAGAATAGACCCTTTGCACAATAACGGTCACGTGATCCGAGACGGGGCATCCTCTTCGATTTTTGTGCAGAGTATCCGTTGTTGAGCATGGTGAAACACTGTATTTTTCCATTTTGGAGATGGAGGAGAGAGTGTCGAGTGGTTTGCCATCGATGGCTGTGGCACCCGTGGACGAACTGTCAAATGAAGAATGGCCTGTGAAGGAACTGAACAGTTTTCTGCTGAATGAGGGTGCGTATCTGTCTGGAAAAAGAAGGAGTTGTTGGAGCGGTAAGTTTTCCGCAGTCAGTGGATATTTCGGATTACTGTTGATTGAAATTTATTTTTATTTTCTCTACCTTCTCTTCTCTGTCGATGTAGAGAACACTTCTCTATGCAGAACCCTGATGCTCCTAGAACTAAGAAGGGCACCACTTCCTCGAGTGTACAGTCGTCGTGCCCAACATTTCATGCGTCCCAGTGGATGACTCGATGAGTGATGAACCTCTGTTTCCCAGAGTGAGTGCCACACCAGGCTTGCTCATCTCCAACGCAGGGGCAAGTCGCCGACGACAGTGAAGAGGGCTAGGGAGCTGATGGAGTAGTACTAGTGAAGAAGCCCGTGGATAGTGTCCATGAGTTTTACTTTGGTGGCTATGTGCATAACGTGAAAGTCTGTCATATCGTGCACACAGCCACAGCTCGAACTCAGATGGCCTTCTCTGCACGCCTGAGCGATGAGGCTGCGTCTCTCTGCACTTCAACATCAGCAGCTCGAGCAGCGCCAGCAAGCAGTCGATCTTCCTCGAATAGCGAAGACAGGGATGGGTCATGCCTTTCTCTCAAGCTCCAGAGTCTCTTGGCAGGACGTTCCGCGTCTTCGCAAAACGATGAAAGTGACTGTCTTCATCGACAAAGTGTTCCGAGCAAAACCGTGACTGTGAACGATGTCGCAGCAAACTGCTGCCCTTCTCGCCAGATAGCCAGGATTCAAGAGAGTAGAATGCTAGCATCACTAGGGAACGCCTGGAAAAACAAGTGGGTTTCTTAGACAAGGGATGACGGTTGCTCCAAACAAGAACCCAACAGCAGTCCTTGGAAAGCATTTCGGAACTTCTTCCTTCAGAACTAAAAAAACTTCAAATGAAAAAAGGCTGGGGAGTACATACATGAACATCGCGTCGGGACCGTGAAAACCTAGCCTGTCACAGGAAACTTGATCACGTCCTGCAGCAAACCATGCATGCTGGTTGCATGCCAAGTGTGCAGCGCGCGCACAGCATGCCCCGTCTCGACCCCTCTCGCTTATTGCGCAAAGGGTCTATTTGTTCTCTTTATAGCTATTATATTTAAAGTTTGATGCTGTGAATTTTGCTGCAGGCTCCAGATTGTTTTCTTTTTTTCTTTTCCTTTTTCTTCATTTGTCACAGCTGGACCCTCTAACCCTGTCTAGCGTGGAGAAAGCACCGGCGATTCTCTTCAGCCGTGATGTGCAGTGTTTGCGCTTGCTGTGCAAGTGCTGCACTGTGGATGAGCGGCCATTGCTGACTGACGCGCAGTCTGCAAAGTTGCTGAAGCGGGTGCTGGAATGGCCGCACGCGATCCGGGCGCATTGTCAGCAGGATGGTGTCGTTTCCAAGGGTGCTGATGCTGATGCTGACGATGGTAGTGGTGCAGGTTGCGGAGAAAGGACAGGTACTGTTTCTGGCTAGCCCGTTTAAATTCTGCTTTCATGCTCTGCTGGAATGTGTGCATGCGTGGTGTGACATGTGTCGGAGTACGGGTGTACTGTTGCGTAGTGATGTGCATGATGATGTCATGTATGATGATGTCGTGTGTGATGATGATGTCATGTGTGACCATGTTGTGTGTGATGATGTCATTCGTGATCATGCTGTGTATGATGATGTCGTGCGTGGTGCAGTACAGGGTTCATGGTTGTTACCAGGGAGTTGTAAAATATCGAGAGATTTTATGGAGTAATTCACATCGAAAAGTTGACCTTGCTTATACCACGTTGGTCAAATGAACGGCGATATACAGGGTGGATATCTGCATTTCGTGACAAGAAATATGGGTGCGGCTTGTACTCCGGAAAGTACGGTACACCGAAAATACCTTGTTTTCAGTATTCTTTTCGGCTGATCTAAGAAGAGCTGGAGCAATGCCGGGTGGATTGTGGGTTTTAGCTAGGTGCCTTGCGCTCTCTCATACCTTTCTCCCTTCTGTTTCTGCTTATCAATGCGGCGGATGTTTGTTTTAGACGCGACATGTGATCTCTGGCCAGTGGAGCAAGAACCAGGGCCGGGACGAGTGGACTCGTCGTCAGCCGAGTCTCTCTCTGACGCCCCGTCCTTCAGGGACTGGTGCGCGTGCTGCTCGCTAACCCTGATGCAGGACCAGTGCGGTGTGAGGATGAGCGAAACGGCAGCGGCAGGTCTGCGAGTGCTGGCCGAGTGCTTCAAGTGAGTACCACTCTCTGCTATTGTTTTTTTGATACACGGCAACCAACCGTTCTGACTTCTGTATTGTTTTGTTTTTTTAACTCGGATACTTTACAGGGTACCTCACTTCAAACTCTCCAACTACGGTCTCTTCGCTGCATACGTTCACTTCACTTCCAAAAATGTTGAATGGTTTTTCTCCCTGAAGATGGGCCATGCCCGAAAATTTGGTGCATTCAATTTATCTCTAATATTTTTTTGGAAGTGAAGTGAACGTATGCAGCGAAGAGACCGTAGTTGAAGAGTTTGGAGTGAGGTACCCTGTAATGTGTGAGTGGCTGCAATGGAGTCTGCGAGTGCTTAGAAAAAACTCGGATACTGAGCCAATACATATAAATACACTAGAAGAAATCACATGGAAATTAGTTATTTGGTGAAAAAGGAGGCAAGTTTTTTAATTGGCTCACCATCCGAGTTAACCCTTTGTGGACGGACTGTACGAGTTTCGATCTAATAAGATCGAAACTTCGTAACTTCGTAACTCCATTGTTTCTTGAGCAAATTCCACAATCGAAGGGTCTACGTGGTAGCGGGAACTCCAAGCTGTCCAATGCAACAATTGCCGAAGAGTTACGATGTCGGACGCCAGAGATATCGCACGCCGTATTCTTACCTCGGCAAATTCAAATTTTTGATCAATCATTTCGCCATTTTGGGGGGAAATCCCTTTTCGTGTGCTCTTTGAGCTACTCAGCACATGATAATGACGTAGCTGGCTGAAGTTTGAATCGTCTCAAACAGATTTGAGCGTTCTGCGATGAAGGAGAGTGGAATGGCGTTGATGGGACGAATTTGCTTGCATATCAGGCTTGGAGACGACTTTGCTGTGTTACCGCGCCTGATTTGTGGCGGCTGGATAATGGAGATTGGTACCCTGGCGTTGCTCTCGTCAAGAGCTTTCCAATGAGCCCTTGATTGTGAAAATCAAGTGAAGGACACCAAAGTTTTGACATGGTAAAGTTGAAAATTGTACTGACATTTTGTAATTCTGGTGCGTACTGTGCTAGTAATCCGTCCATAAAGGGTTAACATTAGTTATGAATAGCTATCCATGACTGTAACAATTGTTACTGTCGTGGATAGTTGCTTCATTACTCGTTTCCATGTGATTTCTTCTAGTTTATTTTTTGTTTTGTTTTTACTAAAAAACATGCAGTGCACGCAACGGGAACGTGCAGCAGCCATTGTGGTGGAGGCCAGGCGACATTGGTCCTCAGACTCTTTCTTGCAGCTAGTGGCCTACACTGTATTATCTCTATTGCAAGCGCAGTCTCTTGTAGAAGCCCAGTCTCTATTACAAGCGCAGTCTCTTGTAGAAGCCCAGTCTCTATTACAAGCGCAGTCTCTTGTAGAAGCCCAATCTCTATTATAAGCGCACTCTAATAGGACTTCGAAGATATACAAGCGCAGTCTCCAAAAAAAAGGGCAGGGCTTATAATGGAGAACTGTATGGATCATGTCCATGCATGTTTGACGTCACACATCACCTAAACGCATGCTGCTTGCTGTGGTAAAAGTCTGTGATCGCCGAGATCTAAAGTTCAGGCTCACTTAGTGTGCCAGAAAGCACAAAACTGCAGTCGCGGTACCTGCTGGAAAACGTTGTGCTACTGATATAATGCAAAATAATAGGCCATGTACATGTACCAGGTGGTTGAAAAATTATAAGCCCAGTCTCTAGTAGAAGGCCGGGGTCCAGACTGGTTGAAAAAATATCAGCCCAGGGCTTATATAATTATGGAGATAATACAGGAACTGTGATGTCATGCTACCTAGGCCCAGCCATCAAATTCCGTGCTAGGGAAAGAATTCTTCTCCTGGCACCTAAACGGGTAAAAACTCCCAGGTCCAGTCAATATGGTGCTGCGAAAGTCTTGAAAATGCTTGAATATAGCCGTTTTTCACCACTTTTTGTATCCCTATCGAGCGTGATTTTGGGACCTTTGGACGCGATTGGACATACCATACTTCGCAGAGATGCTCTTGAAGACATTAATTTCGTGATAGCCACAGTCGATGTCATGGAGGTGCTGAAAGGAAATGCCGTCCCTAATCCAGACCGCAACTCCTCCTCCATGACCGGTGCGGTCTCGACGAATGGAAAGGGCATATCCAGGTAGTGAGACTTCCGCCAGGGTGACCTTGTCTGCAGTGAGCTTGGTCTCTGTCACGATAATAACATCAGGCTTTCAGATCTTCACTGCGTGCTGAAGCTCACCAAGCTTGGACAGCAGTAATGCATTGGTCATGTAAAGGCGAAGTCGGGGCCATGTAGGTATAGACGTGGGTTGAAATGGGGTAGCATGTGGATTTAGGGGAAACTCTGTCCTAGGTCGAGTGGTGAGATATCAGGTCAGTACTCCTCACTTCCAGAAGAACCTGGGGAATCGTTGTCGGGTTGAGCAGTCCGGGGAAGTGCTGGGAAGGTGTGCTTCCCTGAGGCTCGGATGAAGCCATTTGTGTCGGTGTCAGGTGACTGGTGTTGTGGTGAGCCGCCTTCCCTCTGCCTCTGTGGAATCTAGTGCCGCCCTGCAGTGGGGTTCTTGTCTGGCTAGTCCCACTGCACACTTGGTGCAGCATCTGTGAGATTGCACAGCTGAATTGCTCTTTGCTCTGAACTGCTGTGGGTGTCACCGGGTTTGTGCATGGCGGTCCAACAGGTGCAGGGGGTGACCGCTCTGAGTCTGCATGCAGCCCTGTAGCTCCACGTGGTGACATCTCTGAGTCCGCAGTTGCACTGTCGCTCACCGAGTCCATGATCTGACTTGTGCTTGACCCGGACCCAGCCTTTTCAGAGTACAACGTACCAGTTGCAGAGTTTTTGTTTACGTCCTGAGTGCAGCTCTTGGCCACATGGTTGCTTGAACTATACTTGTAGCACGTGGGGGCCTGGCCCCTGTGCCATACGCGTATTTTCTGATGAGATCCCGGCAGCACAATGACAGAGGGTACAGCGACAGTTGGTACTATGCTAACGTACACGGTTTCAGCCCTCTACGGAACAGATCTCTGCAAGACAATAATTCAGGCCACCATTGCTAATCAAGGAGAAAATTTGTTGCCAGTGTACCCTGAAATGATGTGATAACAACTAACGTGATACACCATGTCTGATTCGTGGCTGGAAGTTGTAAGCTCAGTGCTTGGGGCTAGTGGGGTTCCTCTAACTTTCAGACTTCCCGCTTCGGCTTCCCGATCACTGTCCCGAATTTCTCCACTGAAGAAACAATGGCGGAAAGGGAAACGTCTTCAGCCACGCCATAGGCATAGACTGATATTACAGCTCCGTCGCCAACCACCAAAGTCAACGGTGTTCCCTCGAGCTGCAGGCCCTTTGTTAGACCATCGTCCCGTACTTCAGTGCAGCTCAGCGTGATTCTGCAGAAGCCTCGTCGGCCATTTAGGTCAACTTGCTTCACGTCGCCTGGCTTTACTCCGGCGGACAACAGCAGCTTTGCGTAAAAAGCGTGCTCATTCTTTGGAAAACCCTCTTCCGATTGAATAGAGCAAAGTCTCGGCTTTTTAGAGACAAAAATGGACAGATTCTCGGAGCTCCAAAACTTGCATCTGCTCCTCAAACATGTACGTTCTATATATGGTATGGATGGTACGCACTATGCAGTCAGCCTTGCGAATAACAACCCTTGATCGTCCATGAGAAAATCGTCGTTATTCGTGAGGTTGAAAGTATGTAGTCGAATTGTCACAAGGCCTGAAGATTTGGTTGTTATTCGTGAGTGGTTGAAAGTATGCAGGCTAAATGGTCACCATGTCTGAAAAGTTTAACCCTTTGTGTACCAGCCCCATCTCGAACCGTAACGTACGTTACGGTTCGACGCACCGCACTGCGCCGCGCCGTTCAGCGGCGTCCTTGCTCCGATCGACACGCGGTTTGTTGCGCTGGACAGCTGAGATCCCACTGCAAATTTTGATGTATGATGTGGGTAGGTTGCCATTTGAAAGTATGGAGAACGATCGCGGCGAAAAGTGCGCTTTGCAATTTCAGCGCTCTGCGATATATTTTAGCAATTTCGATCGTGTTTTCGTTCGGTTACGCTGCTTGTATCTGGAATATAGCTTGCTCTAGCTGTTGTCGATGTCTACTAGTGATGGTGAACGCCAGGAGAGAGTTGTAGTAGCGATATAGTCTCAGGATCTGAATCGAAAATGAGAATTTCCATCGCTGAAGCCATTGCAGTATTCGCTCTCCAAGCAGCAGCGAGAGGGAGCGCAGCGATGGCCTGAAATAATCAAGGCAGGTGAATTTCCTCACCCATCGACTATTCCTGGTCTTCTCAATCGCCAATACCCTCGCTGGACGCAAGTAGATAAGTGAAAAGTACATATTCAAATCTGACACAATTTCAATAATTTGAAATTTTGATGCAATTGTTTGGCATCTGGTATTCACGCAATATGGCTCTTTTCCGTCTATTTCGCTATTGTTGAAGCATGCAACTGGCGGCTATACACTAGTGCAGTGGTCTCCTGTTGCTCTGTGTGAAGAAGGGCAATGTCAGCAAGTATGTTCACGATTCCGAGTACACGGATCTAAATTGTCAGAAATATGGACAATTGACTCAGAAATAGGTATTCCAGGGTATGGCCTGTATCTATAGTTGTGTGCTAGGTCAAAATATTTTCTTACCTGGACACATTGATACCAACAGATTCAGAAAAACATAACTTGCACATACAAAATGTGTCTTAGTTTGATGCTATAGGTCCATCATTACCGATGAGTACCCCGTGCATACATTAGATGCCTGGTACACAAAGGGTTAAACTCGGATGTTGAGCGAAAGTAATCACGGATGAAAAGAAAGGGCAAAAATGTTACGAGTTATGACTATCTGTCCACCAACGTAACCAGATCATAATTATGCAGTCAGCGAGTGCGACAAAATGGCAGCTCCTTGTCAGTTTTGTGCCATTTTGTCGCACTCGCTGACTGCATAATGATCTGGTTGCGTTGGTGGACAGTTGGTCATAACTCGTAACATGTTGTCCTTTCTTTTTATCCAGGTCTGAAAAGGGTGTTGTTAGTTGAGAGTTGTTGTTATACCCGGAGTCATTACGAGGTTGACTGTAGCAGCGAGATAAGGATGAAGGTATTGTGTACAGTCAGACCTCGCTTATCCAGTCCTCTTTTACCCAGATCCCTCGCCATCTCAAAGAAAATCGTTGGTTACCAATTTACACCATATGCCATACATATTTACATTCTGTGTGTTCGATTATCCGGTTCCCTCGCCTATCCGGCTATTTTTTGGTGGGAAACGGATGTGTGCGGTTAAGCGAGGTCTGTCTGTATTTTGGCCTCTTGCCGGCAATCCTGGGCAGCCGGAGCCCGCTTGAGCCCAATCTGGGCTTTAAGCAAGTGGATTCTTGTGGCCTCGTTGGCCTGAGCTGTATGACAGTGTCCACTGTAGCCTAACAGTACCTGACCTGGGTTTGCTGGCACTGCACTTGCGTCGCATAGGGCTCTCTTTCCTGCCATCATGATTGTCGAAAAAAGAAAGTGTATGTGTGTGTGTGTGTGTGTGTGTGTGCATGTGCACGTGTGCGTGTGTGTGTGTGTGCTCGCGTATGTGGTGTGTGTGTGTGTGTGTGCACGTGTGTGTGCGTGCGTACGTGTGTGTGCATGTGTTTGTGTGTATGATTCCAGGCCAGTCTGGTCGAAGCACCCAGAAGCAGTATCCGTGGCTTGTAGTGCAGCCAACATCAATGTAAGTTCATTCTATCGCATGACAATGCACAAATAACTAACACTTGCTCACACACTCCATGTCGCGCTACATACGGTAGAACGCCGATTATCTTGGTCACTCTGTCGACGGAACATGAAATGACTCAATGACCTTGAGGAAAGTCGGAGGAATACCAAGGACAGAAAGAGCACGATGCAGCGCAGCCCTGGGCACGGAATCATAGGCCTTTCTCAAGTCCACAAAGACACAAAATACTTTAGTACGATGCTCGTATGCCTTTTCCACTGACAGACAGACGCGCGCACACACACACACACGCACACACACACACACACACACACACACACACACACACACACGCACGCACACACACACACACACACACACACACACTCACTCACACTCTCTCCCTCTTGTTCTTGTGTTTCTGCTGTGCTGTAGTGTTTGAAGTATCTACTGGCGGAGAAAGCGTCAACACTGTTTGTGAACAAGAATGACCGCACAAACTGCTACCACCTGGCTGTGCTGGCGGAGAGCTTTCAACTCAATGTAAGCAAACCAAATAATGTGATCTTTTTGGTGCGTGTTTTTGGCCGCGATGCCGAGACCTCAGGTCGGCAGAGCCATCAATGCGCCACCATCACTGCTGCGTCTCGGTGCAGCGCCCGCTCATTAGTTGTCACGTTTGTCGTAGTCTCCGTACCATTGTCTATCATTTCTTTTCTTTTCGAGCTGGGTACCAACTGATGTGTGTGTATTGTATTGTATTATATATTGGAGTGCGCATCCAAGACGTGCTAGAGCTATTTGGCAGTTGGCTGTACATTGTAGAACATCAGTACCGTCGGTCAGTATCGTGCAATGTTATCGCATGAGCTGATTGTTTAGTAACTGGTGGTGTTTGTGGACAGTATAGCGTAACTTGTAGTTCCTTGGTCCGTTTTTCTTTCCTATAAAATGTGTGCATTGTCCTGGTATGGCGTATGGTGAATAGGGGATTTCCCGGTTTGGCGTGTGGTGAATAGGGGATATCCTGGTTCGTGGATGTAGTTTTGAACTCCCTCGGACTTGTGGACACGATCAATCTGTGTAAATCCTTTGCGTCTGGACGGTCCTCGGCGCCGTCCTCGATATCCCGTGGGGGAATTTTAATCGGTAGAGAACATTCGGAGTTTACTTTGCACTGAAGTGGGTGCGGACGAGTGTAGTGAACACCCAGGCTGACATGGACTTGGTGTCCAACGCGCGTGCTTGCGTGCAGTTAGAGGGGCTGCCTAGGTCTCCTTCCTTGGCTTGAGCCGGAAAGGCAAGCGCCGGTGCTGCCCCAAAGGCTTGCGGTGCCGGGAAATTTGCTCTTTTCGTTTACACTCGCTGAACGTCGTGTTCTCCATCTGTTTGGGTCCCTCGACTAGTAGTCAGGGGCAGCGGCACGGACTGCCCAAGTGCAAAGGGTCTGTGCAACCTTTCAGCTGTGTAGTACAGTATTTGCCGGAGTACAAGCCGCGCACTAATTGCACTCGTAATTCGCCCGGAAAAAAAAAGGCTGTGCGGCGTATACTACGATTGTGAAATGGAGCGTGAAATACAGGGTAGATGTCTGTATTGGTGACAAAAATCTGGCTGCTTCTCACACTCCAGTGCCGCGTGTACTCTGGAAAAATACGGTATTCACGAATATCGTTTCTCTAGCTTTCACTCCATTTATAAGAAGAAAAGAAGCCCAAAGAGCTACAAGTTACGCTTGTAAACTGGTCAACCTGTAGCTCTTTGGTCTTCTTTTCTTCTTATAAATTAATCCTTGGCTCTTCACCACCCGAGTCAGTAACTATTCACTCCATGTCTTCATTTCATTGTGACATGCTATGTCTGACGAACAGGGTACCTCTGACCTACTGAGCTCCGCATACAAAGTCCAGCACCGCACCATGGGTGGCCATGGCAACAGCTCTGGTGGCCATGGCGACAGCTCTGGTGGCCGTGGCGACAGTGCAGGTAGTCATGGTGATGATGGTGACGCGGCCGTCGGCGAGCAGCAGGCGTGGCCGGATCTGTTTGGTGCCGACATGGTGCAGGGAGTCACCGACGCCTACGCCGACGTGGCCGCTGCGCACTGCATCAAGTTGCTATGGAAACAGAAAGCACCGGGAGTGGACGCCGCTGATGTTGACGGTGAGTCCTGGCGGGGTTTGAGAACGAGTGCATTGCCGCTCAGTTGGGTCACTATCCCCCACTCAGGCCTGCATGCACGTTGCATTAGGCTGGGACCCCTATACGGTCGGACCTCGCTTATCCGGTCCTCTTTTATCCGCATCCTTCACCATCCGGAAGAAAGTCGTTGGTTACCGATTTACAGCATATGCCATGCATACATACAGTATGTGTGTTCGATTATCCGGTTCCCTCGCCTATCCGGATATTTGTGTGAAAAACGGATGTGTGCGGTTAAGCGAGGTCTGACTGTACTAGAAATGCGGGGGGGGGGGGGGGCTTGACTTCTGTGGGAGTGTTCACTATCTGTCTATCAATGACTCAATAAGAGCACGTACACATGTAGCAGAATGTGTTATTGAGACCGGGCCCGTTGAAATCGCCAGCGATGATGAGGAGCTGTGTATCCACCCGGGCAACGTCAATGGTCCGGTCCAAGTATTCTACCATACTGAAATCGTTGCCAGGAAGAGACCCTGGGCGGTAGGCAGCACACAAGACAACTTTGCGGCCAGGTCGTATGCGGGTAGAAAGCCATACGGCTTCTTGATCAAGTGTTGGAACAGCCTCCAGTTCTTGGAAAGCTAGGTGGGATTCACCCACGCAGCCACGCCTCCACCCTGAGGCGTTCGGTCTCGTCTTACTGGAGGGGAATACCCAGGAAGAATCACTTCGGCTTGCGTCATCTTATCCAGGGTCAGCTTGGTTTCTGTGACTACAGCGATATCTGCATCACATGCCAGAAGGGTATGCTGAAAGTCGCCAAACTGTGAACGGATGCCAAAGGCATTCGTCACCAGCAGCTTCAAAGTCTTACTGGTCATTGTTCAGGAGAGGGTCGGCAAGTGGGAGACTATCACTGTTCTGATGAGGAGGGTCAGACTTGGTGATGTCATCAGGAGGGTCAGACTTGGTGATGTCATCAGTCTTGTCAGATGGGCTGGGATCATCGTGGTGTGCTCCACTGCTTTCTTTGAAATGCCATTGCCTGGCATAAAGTGGCCTGCATGCACAACATTGAAAACTCACCTCTGTCCATCCAGGGCTTGATATAGCAGCTACCTCCTCTCAATCCAACGGTAAACCAGAGTAATACAAGAGCACTAAATACCATGCCACTTCTACTTTCCTGCCATAATATGTACATGGGCCAGAAGTTTGCAGCGGTAATCGTCGAGACTGTTGCAGCGTCAACTGTCAGTCTCGCTGAGATTCTGCCGCTTGCTGATTCGTGCATACTGCAATCGTGCACATCCGCAGATGTCCCAACCGCAGCTACTCTGTGTTGCACAAACTCCCTGAGGCGTTCCTCATGTTGCCAAATCCCTTGGTGGTTTATTATTGTTTGAGGTTATTCTTTGCCCCTCAGATTAACACACTTCCAGAGACACCAAGTAGTTGGGAGACGGATACTTAAAATATTTGACAAGACGAGGAAAGATTATGAAGTGACTAACATTAGACCAAGGATTCCACTACTCCACTAGACTCTGGGAAGTCTCGTTATATTAGAGGCGTTCCTCGGTGCATTGGTCGCCTAGGTTGCCAACGTACAGCACAGCTTTCTTCGCCCTGGGAGACTCCGACGACACCATCTTCCGGCTGTCGTCTGCGATCACCTGGAGCACGCACTGCTTCTTGCTGCGATTCGAGTTCTGGACTGGTTGGAAGCTGTCTTCGTCTACGCAGGTTGCATCTTGTTCGCTGCCATCCCCTTCACGCTCGTCACCGCTACGGGAAATGTTGCTGGGGACGCTACGGGACAGCGTGGTGTCAGGCTTTAGAGTACCCGTGCTGCCTGCTGCGGTACCCCTACGCGAAGGTTGACCCGCGCTCTGCTGTGTTTAAACTGGCCTTGGGGTAGCTTTTCGCGAGGCAGTGGCGGATTCTCCGAGAGACACTACCTCTTCGTTCACACATTTGAGCTGCCTTGACAGCACGTCAACCCGTCTGTTCAGGCGCGCCTCCCGATCAGCCGATTCCGAGACAAGTGTGGCCAATGTTTTTTTAGGATACCTACCACAGATAACTCAATGCCCGGCAACGACGCCATCAGCCTCAGCTCTTCATCTCTCAGGGCAGTCGCGCGAGTGTTTGTTCTCGTGGTGGCCCCAGGCATGGCGGAGGTCGCCAGTTTCGACGCGTACTACTAGAAACACTTACTGCTACTTTAAAGCAACAAATGTTCACGGTGCGCAAATTTAGCGTTTCATGAATTGGGCTAGTTCGTGGTGAGAAACTTTTGCGATTCTATCTCTTCAGTCGGATCTCTTGTACTGTCTACAATCAATGTACGGAGAGGTTTGCGGCGATTTATATTCGTGAATGTGTGATGGTCGCGACAATAGCGAAATTTAACCTCTAGCCAAAGTTTCTCACTTTACAATACCCTACGGAAACTAGCGTATTTCCCCGAATATAAGTCGCACCTTTTTATACTTAGCTTCACGGCCAACAAAGGGTGCGACTTACAATCGAGCATGATTACTACTGAAGTGAACAGATTGAAACGACATAACATTGACGTGGAAATGGAGGTGCGACTTACAGTCGGGGAAATACGGTACCTCCGATCTGGCCTTATGCCGCCTGGGCTCTATGAGGAAAGATTTACGGGAGCTTCGAAAACAGAAACCTACGCCTGCGGGGAAAAAAATAGAGACTCTTGCTATCGACCTCTCACTGTGTACATGTCCATGTAACTGTCTATTTCTGCATTGTCGGTTATGCCGGTATCGTAGAACATACGCTGTCATTTCTTGCTTGTCCTTGTGGTGGTGGCGGGCACTCACTTGCCGTGAGCCTCTGCCGTTGGATTGTAAGAGTCATTGCTTCATGTACCTCGCTTGCTGCTACTCGGAGCCGGAGAAATGACTTCGCAACTCTGTAGTCCCTGTTTAGCATGGCGGTGTGGGCTCGTACGGAATGTGCAAAATTACCCAGTGTGCTGAGAGTATTCAACGGGAGGTACCGGTATGCATCTAAGATGACCGGCATCTTTTTGCGGGGCAAGTTACCCCATAATTGGCAGGTCCAACCCGTTATAGTACGTTTATGAGTATGACCTCACAAAGTTTATGCAGCGATGGTATCAAGGTGTGTATGGTTGTAGTGGACTTGCCCCACAAATCATATTGGCGGGAAATTGATGCATACGTCCCATACCGCAGGATTCACCCAGTGCGCTGAGAGTGCTCAACACCGCAGAGGCAGAGCGAGTACAGTACTGGCGGTCGACGAAGAACTGGGGGACGGGGGTCAGTCTCCTAGCAGCCTAGACCGTTCACATTTTCATTGTATTACAGTCTATGCTCAGTTGAGTCACAGTGTCCGTATTGGTATGCTGTGCTTGATGAAATTCTAGCCTGGTCGTTCTTCGGCGCTCTGTTCTTCGGCGCTCTGTTCTTCGGCGCTACCCGACAGTACTGTAACACAAAACAACTTTCAACAAGCTAGTGCTGTGCCCTGTTCTGTGGAATGTACAAAATAAAATAATCCACTCATAGTATTAGGTGCTGGTTGCCTGGTGGGTGCCGTGTGAACATGTAACTCTGAGTGGCAGCTGATATATAGTTGTGTTGATCTTTGATTGTTGTGTGTGTGTGTGTGTGTGTGTGTGTGTGTGTGTGTGTCTGTGTGTGTGTGCACAGCTGTGTGGTGGATACCAGGCTAAAAATAGTGGCGGTCAATTCATCAGCCTTGCAAGCTGTTGAATGGTGTAATCCCAGCACAAGTTGCTATGTCTAAAGTTGCTATGTCTAACATAGCTGTTCGCTATCATCGCTCCCGCGATGGGCATGTCTGAGGTCTGAGGTGTGTGCGTATGCGTGTGTTCCTGTGTGTGTGTGTGTGTGTGTGTGTGTTCATGTGTGCATTCCTGTGTGTGCACACGTGCATGTGTATGTGTGTGCGCGTGTACGTGCCTCTGCGTACGTGCTTGTGTGTTCATGTGCATTCAGGATTCACGCCATTGATGAGAGCATGTGCGGCTGGTCGGGTACACTGTGTGCTTGCACTGCTGGAGTGTGGAGCATCCGTTTGTGAACGCGTTAGTACCACTTTGCCATTTGTTTTCCTTTCTCTCTGAATAGTCTGTACGTGCAGCGCTGGTAAATAAGTTTTGCAACAGCCTTCAGTTAAATGTTCATGCTCATATGCTTCATTCTCTGTTTCTACTTGTTTGTGATTTTTTAGTTTTCTGCTATAGTAGTTTTCCAGTGATGACAGATGTTCTAGTTGTGGCTCCGGGGTGCTTGATTGTGCCGGTGTTATGGGTGTTATGGTTGCTTTAGGAGCTGCATCTGTGCCTTGATCCTTGAAGGGTGGTGGCGTTCCTACGGATGCGGAAAACTTGGCGACTAGCCGAGTCTGACGGGAACCGTGAATTTTTTTCAATTTTTTTATGGTTGCTTTTGCTGTCGGTAATACTGTGATGATGATGCTGCTGCTGCTGCTGCTAGTGGTGTTATTGTTTCTACTGCTGCTGCTGCTGTTGCTCCTGCTGCTGTTGCTACTGCTTTTCGTGCTACTGTTGCTGATTTCTGTTGTTGCTGATTTCTGTTGTTTCTGATTTCTGTTGTTTCTGATTGCTGTTGTTGCTGATTGCTGTTGTTATGTTTGTATAGGACTTACTGGGTGTGTCACCACTACACATGGCAGCGGCAGTGGGTCACCTGCACTGCATACAAGCACTGCTGCATCACGGACATCGCGTGGACTGCGTGGACAACCAGGACTGGCCGCCGCTCATGTACGCCAACTTCAGCGCCAGCGAGCGCTGCGTGGTGGAGCTGATGAAGGCCAAACCAGAGCAGGTGAGTGTTCCCCTCCAGTCTGGCCTCATCTGATAGTACACGTGGTTAGCTGACGAGCTGGTTCTGGGCCCGGGGCGCCCTGCCCCAAAAATGGGGTATTATTGATATAAACACCCATTTTACGGTAAAAATCTGGGCGCCCGGTTTTTGGGGCAGGGCGCCCCTGGCACAGAACCCACTCGTCAGCTGACTACTTCTGATTCATGCCCCATTGCAAGCGGATCAGATCCCTGTAAAAGGAGAATCTCTAATGGCTTCTCTCATCTGTGCTAGAGAAATAGAAGACAGGTGTGTTGATGGCAGGGTTGTTAAACTTCGTGCCCGCTATAAAGTGGGACATTTTTACAAATTTTAAGATGGCAATGAACAGAATCAGCTGAAGCGACTTGTTACGACGGTTTTATTGAAATGTAAAGTGGTGATGGACAACGAAATAACTGTGCTGGAACTGTAATGTGAAAAACAATAATAGGAACGATGAAAAATATATATGAACATGCATCGAACTAGCTTTCGCACAACGCTCATCAGGAAGCATCGTTGTACATGTACTAATTAACACAATTGCAACACAGATTACTATAAAGGATCAATAGTGATATTAAAACACCTAAACAATGCCAAAAAAAGTATCACAAGGTATTCTTGAGCGATGCCATGTGCGTGAACGGTAACAATCGAACACTCCAAAGGGGACAAAATTCAACAGGTATGAAACAACACTAGTGACAAAATTCTGGCCCAACACGGCCAGACGAACACAACGTTATACTGGTTGAACAATTTCAAAAAGATAACACTCTCCTTTTGAACACAAATGTCAGGCTTATGAATGCGTTGTAACTCAGCCTCCAAAACCTTCACCTGTAACTGATCCCCAAGACGTCCATGTCGCAAAACGGAGAAACATGAATCAGAATACACTTGGCAACATTCAGATTTTTGCAAATCCTTAAACTTTAGACTCGTCATACTTTCGACTCTTGCAGTAGCTGGTTTTGGACACTGCACCTGTCTGATATCAGTCTTTTGTGAGATCCCTCTCCCCCAGCACATGGAAGTCATCTTTCCAGGTGTATGTGAGTGGCTTTGCTTTACGTGCTGCTGTATTCCACTGTCGGTGTGTGTGTGTGTGCGTGTGCATGTGCGTGTGTGTGCGTGCACGTGCGTGTATGTGTATACGTTGCCCAGCTCTCGCTTCTCGGCCGACTGCTGCGCAAACCGTACGAGTGCGAGGATCTGCGTGAGAAGACGCAAACCGTACGTTTGCTTCTAAGCCTGGTGATGTCTTCAGGGTAGTGGCGTGCTTTTACACTTGCAAGTCAGCCTTTTATGACCTAAAACGACTTTAAAGTGGTATTTGACTTACAAGTGGAGTTTAACCGCTATTGATTATATCCATATTGAACCAGTATTTGAATTCCATTCAAGTATTTGGTGGTTGCCTTATAACCAGTGAAGCAGGGTAATTGTAACTGCAGGAAACCTGGCTCTCCTCTTGTACAATGTGCACGCAGCCTTGTGGATAACTACCCTCGATCATGCATGGGAAAGCAGCCGTTATTGCTGGCGAGATGTCGTTGTTCGTGAACGTACGCAGTCACCTCACTGATGTATTGCATCTCTTTGCACCACCACCCCCACCCCCGAGGTCTGACTGTATTTACACTCCGCTCTGCATCCCTTTTGCCCCCCCCCCCCCCCCCCCCGAGGTCTGACTGTATTTACACTCCACTCTGCATCCCTTTTGCCCCCCCCCACACACATACACTTGATTATTATTGACATTCCCTCTGCACCTCACCTCACTGATAATATTTACACTCCGCTCTGCATCCTCTCTGTACAGGTGATCTGCAGCATACTGACAGCGCTGGGCAATCACGACAGGTACTACAGCCTGTTCAATGAGTTTGTACGCGGTAACATCGACCTGCTGGATGACGATGCGTACGCGTTTGCGTCACGCTCCACCGGCCTTCTAGACCTGCCCAACAAACGCCTGTGGCTGGAACGGCGACTGCAGAGCCTTCGAGAGTGAGTTGGAGTGGTGATATTATGACCCTAGGATGTTCCTGCAAAGTAGGGAAGTTTTGTGAGAGATCTAGTAAAGATCTAGTTGAGATCTGGATGAAGCAAATGGGATTTTTGGTCTTTGACCACTTTGTGGTGGGTCTGATCTATTCACCTCCCACCCCTTTACTTGGCTTTAGGAGCTGCATCTGCGCCTTGATCCTTAACCCTTTGCATGCTGGCCTGTTTTCCACAGTAATCTGGCGCTCCAGAGTACGCACTCTCCTGATGGAGTTTGTGTGCACTGCTCGGAACCAAATTTATTCTCATTTCAGTTCACCTGGATGGAATTTCATCATCCTGGGCTTGTTGGAACGATCAGGACCAAGCGAATCCATCCTGGAAGCTCTCAGTTCCACCAGGGCCACTTCCATGACCTCTCCAAACTGGCCCACCATGCCTCGGAACGAAACAACAACTCAGTCACAAATTCTTTTTCGGCTCCTGGCTCAAATTCAACCGATTTTCACGATTCAAACTGCTCTGCAAAGCTGAGATCCACGCGCTTCATTTGATGTCCATAACGCATGCGCAGGGCAAAAGGGAAATCCCCTGGCATGCTCCAAAAAACTGCGAAGTCACGAACAAAAAAATTCGCGATCACTCCAGCCCGTGATTTCCGTGTTCATTTTGTCGCCCTCGGTGAATCTTTATCCTATCGCAAAGACCTTTATATCTCTGGAAAGCTGAGCTCAATACCTTTCCAACTGTGTTTCGTATGTGGAGATCGGATACTCTTCCACAGAGTAACGAAAGTTTGTACACTGGTCTATTCACCACGTACATGACGCAAACCGAAGTGCGTGTACACACGTCCTCAGAGAACCGGCATGGGGTTCAGGCGCGTGTATACACGTCATCCGCACGCAAAGGGTTAAAGAGGGGGGGGGGGGGGGTTCTACGGGTGCGGAAAACTCGGCCTGCAGCCGAGTCTCACGCGAACCATTTTAGTAAGACTCGGGTGGAGAGCCAAGGATTAATTTATAAGAGGTTTTTTAATACGCTTCACCAATTTTGTTCCCAGCCACCACCCGTGAAGTTGCATGTAAATCATTGTGAACGGCTCCGTTCATTGATTGGGTACATTACATGATTCAGCTGGGGAGGAGAAATCGTGGAAGCCTCTCTTTGCAAACCTGTGTATATTTTGAAAACGGAGGAGATACGTGCCTCGAAAGCGTGTTGCTTTGCTGTCAGTTGTGTGGAATGTTCATTCGTACTATGCTGACGGTACGTATGTGGTTCATGTCAAGATTGGAGTGAGTATTCAAACATAGAACAGAGAGGTTCCAGGCTGTCCAAGAGAGTGCTCAATACCGAGTGGTAGAGCTGGTAGTGGTAGAGTGTTTGTTATTCAAACACAGACATGGACAGTTGCTTTTGTTATGCTGTGTGTCCTGAGTTTGTCGCTATACGCGTTTACGTGTATCTGTATGGCAAATGACAAGTTTGGAAACATTGAGCTTTCAAACATGGACGTTGCCAGTTCTTTTAGGCCAAAACAAATAATGACCTTGTTTTGGGTCGGCCGACCGGGCCATTTGTTCCCACATTCTGATACTTTTTTTTGGTCCCAAATGTATACGAACAGCGTGCCATGTGTGCAAGTGCACTCAACGAGTCATAACTCGGTCAAATCTCGACCAGATTGAACAATCGAACTATGT